ATCGGTGAATTTTTAATAGGCACTTTCTTATTCCGCCCGTTACAATCAGATTCATTATAACATTATACGGCATATGGTCAATGAATAAACGCAGAGAAATTTCATCGCGATATGCAAATGCCTGGCTCGCAGCTTGTAGAGATTTGCGCGAGGGACCGGAGTACGATGCTTTTAAGGAAATCCAAGCGCGTTTTTCCGATTTGTTTAAAATTCCACCGCCATTTCGCATCATTTTGTAGTTTAGCGCGAGGTTTCCCCGAAACGAGAAAGAAATATTGACGTATACATAGGTACGCGTCTGATGAAGCCGGGTCACTTGGACGTCGGCCAAATGTTCCAAGTTGCAAGTGCAACGATCGTGATAAATGTAGAACAAGAGGCGGCCAATCTTCAGCGAAGTTATAAAGCATTTTCTTACGAGTATTGTTAGCCGCTAAGTGAACAGTTTATCGCGACAGCTGGCCGCTAATTGTATAATCAAATATGCATATATATAGCTTCGGGGAAGCTGAAACTCTTTCGGCACATTTTCATTAAGAAACATCCCTCTTATCTCGTCGCGCAGCTAATTACGCAGAATATACGCACGCACGCACAGAACCGACAGATCTGTCGGTTTTTTGCGTGTTTTTTTTTGTCTATCGAGCTGACATCAAATATTCCGATGATCGATCAGGCAAAGTTCGATGAATAAAGGGAAAGGACCTCAGCGTGTATAAAAGTGATACACAGTTAGCGCGCGTTCTAATAAAACGCGTAGTCAATAAATTATTTTTAGAGCAGTTAGACGGAGCGGAATTAGCGATCGATCCTAGCGAATGGGGCCGATCGATTCGATCGAGGTAAACTGTGAAATGTCCTTGCTTATTCGAAGTCAAAGCGATTATTTTTCTGCACCGTCGTATCATCGTGTCCATCGAGTCGTTTAAAATGCCGCTTTTGATCTGGATTCATAGTTCACGTGCTCCGAACGTTTAACGCACTGCCGGTTCGCCGGTTCGTATGGCATTGAACGAAATTTTTTAGCACATTTTTTATCGGACAAGTATTTTTAGTCAACAAACGATAAAAAAAAATACAACTTCGCGGAAAGATAAATCTCTCTCCGTTCTCGTGTTAATCTTAGCAACCTCTAAGTAATAAATTAAGCTCACTTTGGACGGATCTATAAAGGGCGACAGAACTCGAGATAAAATTCTATTTATTATGCGCTCTTATGTGCAATGCAGGAAACATTTGTAAAATTGGAATGTACACATGAATAAAATATATACCAGTAATGCGAATTTTGCATGTACATTCCAATTATTCAAATGTTTTCTATTACGTAAAATTATGTGAATTTCTACTTTGGATTTCGCGGCGAATTATAGATCGCTTAAAGCGGCCGTTGAAAGAGAAATTTTATCTATTAAATGAAACCGTCATCTTTCGAATTTGCGATCCTCAAAATTTCTGTGAATCTTCCTCGAAGAAGTCAAAATATTCCTCGAGTACTCTGCAAAACCGAAGAAGTAATAATCTCGAGAATCGCACGCACGGCTGAATGACGCAACATGGAGGACGAGGTCAAAAGTTCACGTGCTCCAAATGAGCGGCGTATCCCATTTTGCTGGCGTTGCCAACCCGACGTTTCTGTAATTCCCTGAGAATAACCTGGAGAGCGCGATGCAAAGCTACACTCACGTAAAGAGTAAAACGCTCTTCGAGCTGCGACTTTCTTTGGTAGCTTCTTCCAGTAGAAGCGCATAAATTCATAACAGCAACGAAGCGCATTATTTATGCGAAAGTAAAATTCGCCAAAATACTACGCAAGTTGAGAGATGTGCACAGAAATTGTGGCGTACTTTTTATATTCTTTAAAGCCGTTTCACGATACGGTTTTCTTTTTCGAAATTATACTGTAAATATAGACATTCGGCAATAGAATTTTATCTCTTTAGAAACGTCGAAACTCGAGTTAAGTATCTAATTGTAAATAATTAGATGAAACGATATCTAATCACAAACATCAGATGAAACGATTCGCGAATGCTGCTACGCACTATTTGTAATTATCGAGAATTGCCGGTACGGTTTTCCGTGTTGTGTCATGAACAGCGAGGAGTGAACAAAGCTTACAGAATTAATCGACTCCTTGCAATTAGATTTAAATAATATGCGTGCAAGCGCGCTATCCAATTATATATATTCTCGTGCATTATTAATGCCACGCGAGTGTGCCGCACGTTTCCCTGCGGGAAAGAAATATATTACATTTACTTTTCGAAATAACATTTGCGCATACATCAAAGAACGCTTACGCGACAATGGAACTGTGTTTTTAACAACATTGTTACGACCGGGCGCAACTTTCCCCCGCCTGATTTATATCCGTCCGCTCGGAAAAGATAGTCCCTTTGCTGTAATCCGAGACGCAATACGATCTTGTAAAACGGCTAATGCGATTACGGAACATGGAATCGCTTATCGCAGATTTAACGCTCCTTTAAACCGGATAAGCCGCGGCATTAAGAGACTTGTCGCCGTGACACGTCTTACAATGTGTGCCGGAACGCGTCCACGCGCGGACCGCTTCGTTGGCGAGCGGGAGAACGCGAATGGGCTTCAAATTGCGGATATTAATACAAGCTGCTTTGGAAAAAACGGCGTCCCTTGCTTGGGAAAACCGTGCGAGGCGCGTAATTGCGTGAATAAATGCGGGTGCGGTTTGAATTAAAATCGTCCTCGAAATAGATAACGGAAAAGTATCGCGGCGTGCGCCTGTAGTTATTTTTGCGCGCGGCCCTCGATAAAATACACATCGCGTTCAGAGGGATCGATATATTCGCTCATAATTCATACGATGTGCGTACATTCTGCCCCCATCTCCCGTTTGCGCGGCGCTCGCTCGTTACGGGCACGAACTTTATTTCCTCCGCTTTCAGCCCTGCTTTCATCACTAACCTACTTCCTGTATTTCTAACGATTACGTAGCAATTGTTTAATTGGGAATTCCAGGGGCGAAATAGCATTTTCGCATTATTGCTGGCGCACAATCTTTGAAATTTCCAGTGAAATCTTTGCCGAGGCTTTCGGGAAGACATCTTTGATGGAGGACGAGTGTCGCGTCTCTCTGAAAGAGGCTTTCAACTTTCAGGCTCAAGCGGTTTAGTAATTACAACTTCTATCGCAAACGGCCCCGAGCTATCTGCAAGCGACGTTGTTTACTTTGCAATAAGGTAAACGGGACTCGGGGTTGCGTGCTGTATTCATTTCTTGCATTTACCGCGCATTTATTTGCCGCTCGCAGGATGGAATTGATCGTTCATTGAAACCCGCTTGTGTACCTGTCAACTTTATCTTTTTGTCAAATGTGCAAATAGAAACTTTACAAAGAGCAAAAATGTCGTCTCGTTTAGTAATACTTCTAAAAGCTTCGAATACCAAAGCTTGTATAGTTCTTCTTCATTTATTTGAGTTTATAAATCGGGTGTGATAAATCATTTGTCGATTCCATAATTTACTTATTATTTGTATGATTTGTCCCTTTGTTTTTTTAATCGAAGGGAAGCGCGCATAAAGGGCTTTTTGTGCTCGCTGTTTCAGCTGCAAACCGCGAATATTCCAGGATTAATTATCGCAAGAGTTGATTATCCGCTCGTTCGAACGCGAAAATGAGGATACAATCGCGAGTGATCGGAAACATATTACCGTGCCGCGCGAAACGGGCTTCTCCCGATCGAACTCTTCACATGCACCACGCTTTCCGCACCCTTCGCGTGTCCTCGCGTGATCGCGGTCGGTCTGTCAACGATATTACCGGGTCGGGACGTTAATGGTAAACAACCCCTCGTCGAGGAGTCCTTCGCGCGCCAACGACGCGACACGGAGTGGAAGGACGAGCGATGAAGGCGAAGAAGGACGGACGAAGCGAGCGCTCGTTCACACGCGACAAAGACTACAACCGTGACGGTTGATGCATGTTTCAATGAAATCTCGTTCCTGGTAAATGCATATACTAAATGTCAAATCGGATATATCCGAGCAAGTGGAAGCGGTCATGGCGTGCGTACGCGCGCCCGCGCGCGCGCCGGCTGACCAGACCCTGCGCTATACTACTGCAATCCACAAATGGCGAGGAATAAAGAATCTTAATTGCATCTTAAAATCTTAATGAATATTTCTGTCGAAAAGAACGGCTTGCGCACAATTAGCTCTTAACAATATGAATTTTTTATACAACACTCAAGAACTACCTTAATTGGATCATTTAGAAAGTAATTTAAAGCTTTTTTATCAAGCTTTTCTTATTAGTTGCTCTATTATCAAGTTATCTAATAAAAAAAAAATATTTGCCTTCCGTTAAACTATATTTAACACGAATTAACACTTATATATCATGTATATTCCATTACAAAAATATGAAATTTGAGAGATTAATTACAATGTGATATTTTAACGATGACAAATGATTGATAATAGGAGCAATAACTGTCGTTTTCTGTTGCATTACAGCAGCACATGTACTAGAAATTAAAAATCTGCTTCGTCAGTGATCACTTTTCGCTTTGTCACGGCGGTGCATCCTCATTTCGGCTATCTTCGAATCGCGACTTTTCAGTAAAATCAAAATTCTGCCGCTTGTAAGAATTCACGCGAGCGACTTTTCAACAAAGAAACTTGCATGATCGCGAAGCAATCCCCGTGTACGGTCAATAATTTCGCTGGCGTTAATTAAAGTCGGCAATTAACGGGGCGCAATTTACGTATTCTCGCGAATGCGTCGGAATGTGTTACACACAACCGGCGGCAAAATTTATTGTGCAATCTCGCCCTGGTTCGCAGAAGCGGGGCGGGGACGAGAGAGAGGAGGCGGGCTCGGAGGCACTTAACGAAGGCGTTCCGACAACTTAAGACGGATCGAATCTCGGGTATCTTTTTGCGATTCTCGCGAAAACTCGTCGGCTCTCGTGCCACTTATGTCATCGGCGGATCTGGCGAATGTTCAAGGGACTCACCGGGAGGAGGCAAACGTGGTCGCTCCGTCGCCCGGCGGTTCACCGCCTCGTCGCACCTGAATTCCTCTCGGAGCGTACTTTCCTCGTGCGAGCGCCGAGCACTATTCGCGCGATTCACACCGGCGGGGAAACGCGGACGCGCGCTCGCGTGACGTCGCGCTAAACACACGTATTATGCACACACGTATTATTCACGTATACGTATAATGCGACGGCGACGGCGACGGCGACGGCGACGGCGGCGGCGGCAGCGACGGCGACAGTGCACCACGGCTAATGCACACGTCGCGTTCCGCCCGCGAGCTTACGCGGCGACTTTCGGACTGACAGGAGGGTAGTTTTGGTCGCCGCGCTGTGCCGCTACACCGCTGCCACCCCTCGAACGTAGGCGTTACTAACCGCGGGCCACCGGCCACCCATCCCGCAACACTCGTCTCCTATTGTTTCGCAAAGCGATTGGCTCGCTTGGAGCTTTTTAAAGCTCGCCCGACACGCTGCAGGTGCGAGCAGTTCCGTGAGAGCGATCTTGCTTTGATAATTTAGACTTCTTTTGAAAATTTCTTCGAAAATTGCTGCGCTCAGAATCGTCCGCTTGTTACAAAAACAAGTAATTAAAAATTGCTAAAAATAATTGTACTAATTGGCTCAGGAAAACTGCGCGTTTATTTGATTTAATAAATCATAAATTAGACAATTAAAATAGAGAGGAGGAAAAAGGAGAAATTAATTCTGCAATTTGCAATATCTATTTTGAGAAGTACGAAAAAATATTCTAAATGGATTTCTATTACACGTGTAAATTATTAAACATATTGTTTAATATTTTTAATCAGTTTGGTTTCGTTTGTTATTTTTTGTAAATGTGTAAGCAATATTCGGGCAATTGTAAGATAAAACGATACGACGAACCGTGCGATACGTTTCATACGTATCTACCGATGACGCTGCACTTTTTTCATAACCGATAGTGTCCAACAAAGCATTACTAGTTTTAGCCATCGTACAGATAAATTGTTAGCAGATGTTATCAAGAAACGAAACGTTACGAAAATTTTGCAAACGACTGTAAACGTTTCGTCCTTCGATAATCATGTTAATAATTTAACCGCGCCGGTTAGAAAACCAGTAATGCCTTCTTTATCGTCGCAACATGAGCTATCGTTCTTCTATGCTTATTCTTTTTTATATATATCTCACAAGTGAGTATTTATGTCGCAAAGATAAGTTGTAATTATTATCTAAATCTGTGAAATTTAATAGTGCATTTGCGTTGGGTATTTCCGAGCGTATCAGAAGAGAAAATCATCGGCGGAACAAACGCCGATATCACGTTAGCTCCTTATATGGTAAGTAAAATTTTAATATCAAATGCCGAATACAACATGAAATTATATACACGGAATTTTGTCGCTCATCGCAAAATAAAAACGAACATTTTTCCACTTTTAGTTGTCGTTTTGTCTGTACGGTTCACACGCGTGCGGCGCTGCTATAATAAACGAAGATTGGGCTGTCACGGCAGCTCATTGTGTAAAGGCGTAAGTAAAAATGAGATTTAAAAAAGACGTTTTCCGTTAATTTGCATCAAATGCATATTATAGGGCTGAAAATCTCGAAGATATAACCGTATGCAGCGGAATGTCCGTTCTTTACGAGAACTGCGTCGTTCACGAAGTAATAAACTTTTTCGTACATGAAAACTACAACGAACTAAATAACGATTACGACATTGCAGTCATTCAAGTATTTCCACCATTTACTTTTAATGATTGCACGAAAGCGGTTGACCTGGCGCCAGACAACGCTCAAGAGGTTTCTACGGATTGCGGTGTGGCCTGCGGTTGGGGATACTATATGGTAATGACAAAAGGAGTATTATAATAGTGGAATATAATATCGACATTGATACATTGCTATTTTTTTAAATTTACTCTTTGCGATTTGCTATCTTTCAAAATTCACTCTTTGCGATCTGCGGAAGAAATTAAGCTTTCGTGAAATGTGCAGAAAAGCAATTATGGGATCGATTCAGCTGTATCGCAGTATCTGCAGTGTATCAAAATACCGCTGGTAAAGAAAAAATTATGTCAGGAAATTTATGAAAATAGATTTGAAATGACATCTCAAATGACGTGTTACGGACTTGAAGACGGAAGCAAGGATACTTGCAAGGTAAGGCGCAGACATAATCAAAAGATAATATTTATTTTCCCATTATTCGTGTACGAATAGGGCGATTCCGGAGGACCATTAGTCAACAAGAATAATATTCTTATCGGCATCACTTCGTGGGGAGACGGTTGCGCGAAGGAGAATTCTCCCGGTGTGTACACCGATGTATTACGTCTTAATCACTGGATTAAGGATAAAACTGGAATAAAGAGAAATTGATCGTTGTAAAAGTACAATGCAACATATATTAAAATATAATGCTAACAAATGCTTATCGTATGTGCCATTTATAACCTCTAAATATCGTATCATCAAACACTCGATGTATTTATTCTCATTGTTGCGAAATTTTATGAGACTTTAGCTCGGTATGATCAATTCGACGCTTTGTCCGTCTTCAGAGATGACGAATCTGGAATCCTTGTAGCGCAAAAGATTCGTAGGCCTTTGCACCGACCACGCTCCGTAACCGAGTTTGTAAAACAACGGTAACCGATCGAATCCACCAGCAATCGCCAACGAATCATTGTAGTCCCACTGACGATCCATTAACTTGTGCGCGTGTCTCTTCTTCGGAGTTTTTAAAGTCGAATCTTCCAACAATACGGACTTTGCTGGCAAAGTCGTTCGATTTTCCAGCAGGGCCAGAAAATATTGCACCTGAGAGGGGCAGAAATTCTCAAAATAATATAACGAGATATCCGTAATTAAATAATTGCCGCACAATGCAATTAATTGAATAAATTTAATACTTTTGAAAATATTCTTTTTAGCATGATTACAGCGACGGGCGGAAATTAAAAGATGCACGTTTAATTATGCAAGGACAGATATTATAATAATTACTTGCAAAATATTTCGCAAACTCGTTAACACATTAAGGACCGGGTACGAGAACTCGCCATGCATTATATATCGGCCACGAGAATTTTATTACTTAGAAAGCTTTGTCAACATTTTCTGTTTCGCGAAAGTTCGACGAGTGAAGATATTAAATTTTTGCTTATACATGCAGAATTTAAATATCCCTATTTAAACGCCTTGGAAAGTGGGGCTTGGCATTCAAATCCGAAGAATGTGTTAAGTTTAATATATACATGTCTCGCTAGACCAAGCATTATCAACGGGCGGTTTACGAGCAAAGTTACGTGCGTCATCGCGCAACAACAATTACCAAGTTAGTGTTAGAATTAGTTATTGCATTGTTAAAGCGAATGAATAATTACCTGCATATGAAACATGGGAAATGGCACGACGACCGTGGGTATCCCGACGATGCACATCGAGGGATGCTCGATGTTGATGAGATGCTTGTAAAGCGGAATCACGTAATTATTGTCGACCCGTATACCGCAATTCTCGTCTAAGAAGGGAAAACTGTATTTGTATCCGGTGCAGAAAAGGAAAACGTCGACATCGTCGACGCTAGTCCCGTCTCTCAGGCGAATTGTACTTTCATGCACGCTTTCGACACCCGCGACTTGCATCATGTTCGATGGCAGAGAACTTGTTAATCTAAACAAAGAGAAAATATAAATGAAACGTCGAGAAAATCTCGAGTTACACTGTCCTGTTTCAGTGCTGTACCGAAAATTCTGAATCAAAACTCTGAATAATTAATTTTGACTAGTGTTTACAAATTTTCATGGATTAATCGCTCACCTGTCATGATTGTGACTTAAGTACACGCGAGCTGCGTGATCGGATAAATCGATCCCAATATCGATTCCAGACGAAGCTGCACCCAACACTAATACAGTTTTCCCGGAAAACTCGTCTGGTTTTCTGTACGCGTGGCTGTGCAATATTGCACCCGGAAAGCTGTCGATGCCGGATATAATTGGCACGTAAGGATCGAAATAGTGTCTGAAAACAATTGCGAATGTTAGTAAAAAGTTTGTTCAACATTGTGATTACGTGTAACTTACCCGTTGCAAACCATAATCGCATCAAAATATTGAAGTTCTATCTCGTTTGTTTTTAATTTTTTTACTTGCACTGACCACTTTTCTCGATTGCAAGACTCGGACAGTTCAAATCGAACGTGTTCAACTTCTGTTTCGAGCTGAGAAACAGAAATTAATTATTGGATAAGCAGTAAAATTTTTTCACGTATATTCAAGTATTAAAATTTAGCTACCTGAATGTAACGACGTATATCAAAGTGCTGGGCATAATCTTTCAGATAGTTTAAAACCTCCTGATGACTCACACAGCTGGGTTCTTCCCCTTCCATTGCCGTATAATCCGGAAAATTCATAATTTTAGCGGGCAAATTCGTTCTATGCAAGAAAATCACCGTATTTTTTTAATTAAAAGAAGTCACCTCAATTAAAATATTGAGAGAAATTAATTTTGTCTGAAGAAAATATTATCTCGCGCTTATTAAGATGTTTAATTGAGACTAATTTTTATTTTAAAATATTAAATTGAACAATGTCAAACCTTAGATTCTGGTACATGCTGGAATGAATCGGCAATCCATTCTCGTCGAGGCCACTCTGTTCATTGTAGACCCACGTGCCTCCTATTTCGTTCGTCTGCTCGTAGACCGTAATTTCGTATCTCAAATTTGCCGCCAAGTGTCGGGCTGCACACAAACCGGCCGCGCCAGCACCGATAACACAGACTTTCATTTTTTCTTCTTGATCTGCCATCTATGCGAAATCTACGTACGCCTTGCTCTTCCAAGCCGCTGCAAGCCGCGATCAATAGGATCCGAAGCAAGCCTCAATTTTGATCTCTCTTTTCGCTCGACTCTTTTTCTCAAGCATTTGTTGTCATTCAAATGTTCCTTAGCGATGTGTTAATTGATATTAAGCGTTATGTGCGACGGTTTTAGTTGGACATACCTATTATATGACTCGTCGATTATGTAGTATACGCTTCTAACCCGCAAACTGCCACTACTGCGTACGAACGAACACGTACGCTTGGCGTGACGAGAGAATTTCTCATCCACAGGTAAAATAGAATGTGAACGTTGAAATACTTTTGTTCTCGTTATGATAAAAGGAAAAGGAATAAATAAAAATGCACGATATTTTAAAACGTGATATTTGAAACCGTGTATTTATGTTGGTCTCCAAGCTGAGAGGAATTACAATGGACTACGCATTTGAATAATGCTCATTCTTTTATATTTGACGCAAATTTATGCAAAACGGAAAAAATAAGATACCGCGAAAACATTGTTGCGGTTGCTTCGGGTTTTTAAATAGTACTATATCACGGTCTAGTGCAATAGATAAGCAGACGTTCCAATTCCAGACGATTCTGATTTCTTTGCGATAAGAATTTATTATCACGCATGTTCGCATGTGACTTGAAATGATGTCATGGTCGATTATATTTGTATTTAACATCACTGTTTTGATCTCGTTACAAATTAATATTGCTCAAAACTTACTTCTCCGGAACTTTTACATTTTCGGCTTGTACAATTGTTGCATACTAGTTAACAAAAATAATTTTTTAACCAAATTTATTGTCATATATTTAAAAAAATTAAATCTTTTTTTATTACACTTTTTGTTATATTATATTTCAAAGCATGTGTGAATTAGAGTCACTATATATATATTTTTGTACCATTTGACAAATGCTCTGTCTAAATATATTTTAATTTATCAATCAGAGAAAAATCTGAAAGCCGCTATCTCAGCATTAAGAATATTGATTCTAGTATCTGCATACAGTTCAGGATTGTAACTACATTGTATTATATAATTAAATCTACACGCAATGTATTTATCGTTGTTGTATTTATCGTATTTACCGTACGGTAGCATTTACTGGCAGTCAAGAAATCAATATGACTATGTAGTTTCAACTCTGAAATGTACACAGATAGCAGTACTGAATAGAAACGGGTTGGTAAGCGTGTTTTTGGACAGCTAATTTTAATTTAGAGTAGCTAATTATGTGCACAAGGGTTGGAAAATATTATGATAAATTATATTAGATTTTATTAGCAGAGATACCTTTTTTTAATAATTTATTTTATTTTTTGATAAAATAGATTTGTATGTAATATATTAATTGTCGACAAAAATCTATTGTACATACAATTTATAACTTACGTATAACGCAACACGAGTGCTTCCATAACTTACTTAACAATAGCTGCTCTCATTGTCATAAAATATGACATGACCGAAACTATAAACTGGGAACAGATAAATTTTCTAAACTGTTGCGCGTCAAAAATATAAAAGTAACATATACTTTAATTTAGGAAAATATTCCTTACCCCTCCGTAATATTCTAGAGTAAGAGAAGGTAATAAGCCACTCATTGATATCAAGAGCGGTTTCTGACTTCTTTGAAGCATGAGGAAAACATCATTTTTTACTTTCTGCGAATTGCCAATCCATGATACGCTATAAACTGACCAACAAAGTCGCGTACTCTGTAAATAGAAGTATAGAATTAAATGCATCTCATTCATTGCAAATTTACGTATTGGTTCTGGTATATTAAATTTATATTTGCAGATTTATGTATCGAATTGTTTATTTTTTTATTGCTTTTAAAAACTTACGACTTCCTTCAAATCATTAGCAGCCCATGCTGTAATATACATACGTTGCAAAGCGGCTATTATCATAGATAAAAATTGAGGTATTAATATATAAGATTGTAGCTGTAAGATATGAAATTAATTATAATTAATTTCAATATTTATAATATGATAAGCGGTTTATTTTTCACAAAACAAGAGATTTGTTTCAAAGTCGCACAAGTCGGACAAAAAAATTGTAACAAAACAAATTTAAAAAAACGCATTTTGTAGGTGAAATGTTGTAGTTTTTGACATTTCGCATAAATTTCGCGAAAAAAATTGTTGTATTTAATTACAGAGCGTTAAAAGTATGCAATTTTAATGAATAATATAATGTGCTCTTTTTCGAGTTTAGAACTATAAACAAATTTTTAACAAACGACTAAAAGAATATGAAAATATAAATTTCAAGCTTGAAATTGCCTTTTGAACTTTTTGTTTACGATCATTTTTTGCCGAGTTATAGCGGTTTAAATATTACCCAATTTTAAGCACTTGGACGTCTCGACGCGGCAGAGCAGTGCGGCCGAATGGCTGAAAGCACCGTGATTTACTCCGCGTAGTACGCGACGCGCCATTATTACGCATATTATTACAATGATTGGTGTGCTATGCACACATGAAAGTCACCACGCACGCATATATTCGGTCGCACTGCTCTGCCGCGTCGAGACGTTCAGGTGCATAAAATTTAACAATTTTCAAACCGCTATAACTCGGCGAAAAATCATCGTAAACAAAAAATTAAAAAAGTATTTAAAAGCTTCAAAGTTTGTACTTTCATATACTTTTAATTGGTTTTAAAAATTTTTTATTTTTACATTCTGGAACTTGAAATAAGAACACATTGTTTTGCTTTTAAAATTACGTACTTTCAACACTTTGCAGTTCGTTAAAATAATTTCTCGCAAAATTTATAAGTGGTTAAAACTACAACATTTTACTTACAAAACGCGTTTTTTTTTAATTTTGTAACGATTTTTTTGGCCAAATTAAGTAATTTAAAATAACAAACATATTATTATTATTATTGTTTTTTTTATTAGACAGAAATACTTACATATAGTATAGGAAAACTACCACTGATTACAGTAAATCCCATCGTAAGTGTAGTTTTGAAGAGTACGTATTGAGTTGCTTCCTGCGTTTCCGAAACAAACCTGCTCATGTGGAGAAATACACATGTACATGCGAGAAAATTTATTAGATATTTATTATTATTATAGGATAATTTATTTTAATCGATCCAACTAATTTATTTGAAAAATACATTTTTTAGAAAAATATTTTAAAAAGTTATTTAGTGTTGGAGATGATAAATTAGTGTTAATTTGACTTTGGGTAGAAATATAAAGATCATGTTAAATTTACCTTTGAAATTTTTAATGGAAAAACAGTTCTTATTACGTACACATTTTTAGAATATAAAATAGAACGATTTTTAATCATTATTGAAAGCGTCTTGATATCATTTATTATCTAAATATATATACAATAAAAAATACGGGTTTTTATATAAAAATTTTAATAACCTTAACATGATTTTCACATCTCTAGCCAAGATCAAATTATTATCATAATTTAACATTTCCTTCAAAACTAAATAATTGTCTAAAATATTTTTCTCAAAAATGATTTGTTTCTTAATTAGTTGAATCGATTAAAATAAATTATTTCATAAGATTTAATATTTTTTCTTCAAATAAACTTTAAATCGACTATGTACAGTAAATATAAATAGATAGATAGTTTTCGAAATCGCAATCATTATTGATTGTAACGCGCTTATTCAAATTAAAGGTTTGCAATAAGGCTTGGAATAATAACGCAAATTCAAGTTACCAACAGCAATCAGTAAACAGCGCATGCAAGACCAGGACGATAGCCCAGAGATTAGCTTGTATATTTTCATAACCAAGCTCGCAATTCTGTCTGACGGTAAAATCCGCCAATCACATTGATCGCTGTGGCAGCTAGCAATTAACAAATTTGACTTGAACGATTAGAAAATTAAAGAATATTCTATCAACGCGGTAATAAAATGGCTACGACAGGCGCGGCGGAGTTCGTTAAAAGCACTTGTGCCGATTACACAGCAATCGCATTTTATTTTGTAAAACCTTGCAATTCCATATTTTTTATTAAATAGTTTTCGCGCAATTAAACTTGATTCATGACGTATTGCTCATATTCACGAAATCAATCAGAGTCCTGCTGAATTTAAAAGAAAACGATGCATTTTGTTAACTTTTTATTACTAAATTATTCAATATATTATTATTTCAAACAAAAACACGCGTTTAAACTTGCGTATGTCATATGTATGCATCTGTGTGCTTAAATTCGAGCCCGTGGTTTTGTTTCGCCTATTCAGCTTATCAATTGCAATGAAATAAACCATTAATTAGAAATTAAAATTTTTAACGCGTAGAATATTTTGTAACGTAAAATATTTGCAATATTAAGAGTTTCGAAGCCAAGTCGCGGCGTTTGATGGGATTGTTTCGTCGCTAACCTGGATGCTCCCTTTTCTTACGCGTTATGTATTTGCACGCACATTGTTGTTCCTCATTTCCTGCATTCTTCCAAATCGATATCGGCATAGAAAATAAGGAACAACAATGTGCGATTAATTGTTTTCTAAGACAAGGCATATAAATGACATCAGCATAATCAAATATATAAATATGAAAAACTAGAAAGTTTCGCCGCAAAGAAAAGATGTGTCGAAGAAAGTAAGCGAAGGCAAGAGAAATATATTATATATATATATATAAAATATAGTTTCACAGAAATAAGTAAAAATCAAAAGTGCATATTTTGTATATTTGTCTAAATAATAAAGACACTATTTCTAAATATTTCTGGTTTCATAGATACATAAAAAAATTATAGTTTTTAAATTTAATATAAATTTATACAACTCGATAATTTACTGTAGCATTTTCTTACATTTTTGTCATATTTCTACAATTTTCAATAAGTATGTTTGTTTTAGAACTCAATTTTTTATATTTCAATTTTTATATATCTTAAAAAAGATTGTTTGCACAAAATTTAAAATCAATATTGTTACAAATATGATATAGTTTTACAGAAATCAGTATTGATATATTTATATATCAGTATGTGTATATATATATTTCTCTGGATATAAAATTTTGTTTAAAATTTATGAGAGATTTACAAGACATTTCATTTTTATCACTTACCTTGTTATTTCCTGATGTTTTCTAATACACGATATGACCTGAATCTCATTAGTAGCTTGCTCTATTTCGGAAGCTAATATCTCAAGCTTGGCTGTTGGATAAAATAACAAAACAGCAATCATAACATCCACACCAAGGCAAGAGACTGTATGCGCAATCACAAATATTTGCAAGTTATAGATAATAAATTTCCGTAATGGCGGTTTTGTCGAAAACGGATACCAAACGTTTATGGGAAATTCCATAGGAAGAATCAAAGGTTCACAAATAACTGTAATTGCTGCTACGACGAAGGATGTTGCAACAATCAAGATGAACGTCATGTAACGGTCTGTATATTTTTGTATCATATTTCTTTCGTGATCTTTTGAAATTTTAATGAAATTCTCGATGTTCAGCAATAATTTCTAAAACATATTTTTTTAGCCGGTTTACAACTTGCAATAAATTCTGCAAAAAATGTGAGATATGTACACACACAGTTTAAAATATAATAAATCCTACTTAAATATAAAAAATGAAAAACGCGAGAAGAGAAAAATAAGTTGTTACGTAAAAATAATTATCAGAAATTATTACATGGAGAAAATTTTATATCAAAAATTATTATCATACGGCAGAATAACCGCTGAACCAGAAGAGGAATTATAAGTTTAAATTCTATGGCCATTATGTGAAAAACATAGTAAAAATTTTTATAATTTTTTTATGGCCTGCGACTACTGCCGTATATAGTATTTTTAAAATTTTCTTCGTGTAGTTTTACTAAAAGAATAATTTTAATATATAATAAATACTTACTTGCAATTGTTTTCTCTTACTCCTACATATGATTGCATTAAAAGTGGCTTCTGTCAAAGCCGCAAACTGAGATAAGGTTTTCATCGATACATCGATATTTTCCCGACTCTTGTATGCGCTTATAGATATTGACATCAACATTGTCGCAAATATAAAAATAGCAACATAATAATAAAGATCGCGAAAAAGACGCTCATTTTTTCCAATATTCGGATGTGGTGGCCACGTATGGGTGAAGGTCCCAAACATTCGAAGAACGTGGAACATCTGTTGAAAGTTCACTTGAATTGCCATATCGTGGCATTAAATCTTATTAGACAGAACGTTTTCAACAACTATGAAAGCGTTAGGGCTACAGAACGTTTAATACAGCTGAAGGAGAAATGGCAATTTGAAGTGCTGCAATCGATAGCGCATTAATCATTCACTAACGAGCGTTTGATCCTTCATAGTAAATTATTACTTATAGCACGATCGTGGGAAATAAAGCTGAAATACGTGCAATATACTACATGCACAAACTCTGCAACAATTGCAATGGATATTTTACTTTATTGCCAATCCTCTTTTTGCCGTGCTACTTTATAATTTCTGTAATTTTATGATAGCATCTGAATCGTTGCTTTATTCATTATTCTTTTCGCTGCAAAGAACTTTGTAGCTTCCTCTAAATGCGCGACTATAATTAAGAAATTGCAGAATGCAATATACGGAATTTAAAATGCGGAAGTTTCATCGAGTAAAATTAATTTTTATATTAGATTACGAACACGTGCGAATACTTCGACGACCACTGAGAGGAGGAGGAGGCTCGGGAGCATCAGGCGTCGGCGGAGCAACTTTACGGTGAGAATAACTTATTTGTTATTTATTGTGTTTGAAGATGTTGCACATTAAAATACTTAAAAGACTTAAAATATTCTGTAAAGTATATTTATATTAGTCAATATTCATTATTATTAGACACTTTTTATATATTTATTATTTTTTTCAAATAATTGAACTTTTTTTAATAATTCTTTTATTCAATATTGGCTTAGATAAACGAATGAAAAGTTCAATGTGAGCAATTATAATTTTACAAACTCATCATTAAAGAATTATTTATTAAAAGAACAAAGTACTTATTATTTTGAATAATTTAAATTAAATTTGTTTATGTCAGTAAATTTATTATATATGTTTATAAATTATATGTTATATTAGATTATTATTTTTTTAAATATTAATTATTTTGAACGCATCTCTAATCTTGATTTATTTTCGTATTTTACAGATCAACTGTGCAGATCAACAAAACGACAACTCCGCTGCTGCGCATCAATCGGTGAGTACTTCGACTTCTCTTTTTTATTATTAAAATAGTGGATCGAACAATGCTATAAAAAATTTACTTTTAAGACACTTTGCGGACCGTTTATTGCTTTTCATTTTTATTGCTTTATAATAATTATATAAAAATGTTATTCTCACGTATTTTTTTAACTTGTACATGTATTCATTAAAGAATTATTTATTAAAAGAACAAAGTACTTATTATTTTGAATAATTTAAATTAAATTTGTTTATGTCAGCAAATTTATTATATATGTTTATAAATTATATGTTATATTAGATTATTATTTTTAAAAATGTATAATCTGCAAAATGCGTTGTACACTAAAAACGAGCAAAGTGTTTTTTATTTTGATTTACATAAATTAAATTTTTTTTTTTTTAATTTAATTAAATTAAGAATATTGATTTGAAGACTTATTGGACTACTGCAAGTTGTTGCGTTTTTATATAAAATTCTTAGTATTTAAAGTTTTCATTTAAATTATGAATACGCATGTGTAATATCTCACATATTTATTGTTCTCTTACTAATCAAGTAATGTCGGGGTTACACTTATGTAACAATTGTTGCAAATGTTTAAAACTGTGAAATCTCAATTTTTGTCTTTTGTATGTCGTGTATTGTCTCTGACAACTTGTAACTAACAATATTCTGAAATGTTATTTGTCTGTGTGTTATCTGTCGTTTGTCTCGTTGAATTCTTTGTTGAGATAAGTAGAAAAAAATAGGTGTGCGAGATATTGTATGTGTAACTAATTTTTTTTTATATATAAAAGAAACACACTATTTAATACATAAATTTGAGCCCCAACAACTTGCATCGGCCTAATAGTCCTTCAAATCAATGTTAAAATTCAGACGCTTATTATAATTAGATCAATAATAAGTAGAATATTAAAGATATAATCATATACAAGAATATTTTACATAAAATTATAAAAAGTAAAACCATTTCTTCGATCCATTATTTTACAATGGATAGGCTAGGACTTAGATTAATTACTTAATTTAACCCTGGAATATGTGTACGTTATGATGCACATACAAAATTAAATATATTTTTATATGAGAAAGAGGGAAAAATTGTTCCCTTTTTTTTTCCTTGAACAAGGTAAGTGGTTTGCATTTTTATATCCATGGTTAAATTTTGTTCAAATTGGCTTAGAAAAGCAGGTCAGAGAAATTCAAAATACATATATATGTATTGCAAATAAAATATAAATTAAAAATAAAAAACATATATTTTGCAGAAACATAATTTAAAAATTGACAACATATTTGAAATAATTTATTTAATAATAACACATTTATAGTTAGCCATTATTAAATATACATACGAATTTTTGCTATACGCCAATTTCCTCGTAATCTTTTTTAGCTTATCCATGCATCCGTGGTTTTATGGTTGGGCACGGAAATTCGAAATTCATGGTCCCATCGATGATGGTCGAGCACGGATCTCGAAACAACGTTGATACGATCGATCGTTGAAAAATGGTCGACTATCAACACAAATTTCGGACGCAACTAGCGGAAACTGAGCTGAGCTCTGCGCTAGCGTCCTGTGAGAAATACCGAGGTAGTGGCTCTCAGATTTTGGATGCAAATAGCGGTAATTGAGCCGAGCTCTGCGCTAAAACATCTTACGAAAAACTCTCTCTCGAATTTCAGATGCAAATAGCGGTAATTGAGCTTGAACTCTACGCTAAGCATCTCGCGAAAAATTCGCAAACGGTTCCGCGAAAAACTCCTAAACAATTCCGCGTAAAATTTAATCTCATTAAACCTTAAACTCGGTTTATGGTTTTTTATACGTTTTTTATTCTTAGGTATAGAACTTTTTATCAGGTAGGTTTTTTTGTTAGACAGAATTTCTATTAGGATTTTTTATTAGAGTTTTCAAGTAGGTAAGATTTTAAAACTTTTTATTATACTTTTTATTTTTTTTTAATTCTTTGTCTGTCGATAAACTTTGGAACTTCTGCTTTGGCAGTCAGTTTGCAGTTTATTGATGACAAAGATAATGACAAAACTTTGGGTGGGCAAACAGCAAGATTCTCTTTTGCGAGAGTGGAAGAAGTTTCTGCATATAAAAATTTTAAAAGTTTTTTTTGCAAATTTTAATTGTTAAGTTTTTGTTAAAAGAAAATGTAATAAGATAAATGTCTTAGTGATTAGACATATTTCAATTTGCAACTATATATAAAAAACAATTTTAAATATCTATAAATATAATGGCCAGAAACACTGGTACATATAAATATCCTATATTTTTTTGCAAATATTTAATTTTAATAATTGTCGTTCATTAATTATAAGTTTAGTTTTATTATTCAAAAAAATGAGAAAAATAATATCTTGATAGAAAAGAAAATATATATTTAGTAATGATTAATTGTCCAGCCTCTGAGACATTTACTTTACATGCACAAAATTTGTCCAAATATTGTATAATATATTGTATATTGTATATTGTATATATTGTAATATTTATATATATGTATAATGTATTCTATTATGCAAATATTATTTATTTTGTATTGCAACTATTTTGCATTTTATTTTATTAAAACACTTTTAACAAATAATGCGTGGCAACTTTCTCACGAAAAAAACATCTAAAAAATTTTTCTTTTGTTGAAGATTAGAAAAAATAATTTTACTTATTTATTTTATTAAAAAAATTAATGATCGAATTGTGTGATGATTTTGGCAAATATGAAAAGGTCAAAAGCTGTTATCGATATAATAGAAGAAAAAATAGAAAATAATAGAAGTAAACAATAGAAAATTTAATAGCAATAGAATGATAGAACTTTTATAAAAAACTTATAAAATTTATAAAAATTATTAATGACATAACTTTTGCAGTTAATTACACAATTTATGGTACACACTATATATTATAAGATTTTTTGAAAAAAATGTTCGTATTATAAGGACTCAATGCAAACCTAAAAATAATAGCAAACTGCTGACATGATCGATCGTTGATAGTCTAGTCATAGTATTGATTTCTGAGCATACGATTCAGAGTCTCTGCGTTAGAGGGACTGCAATCGCTATCATGTGTTATCGTTACTTCTGCTGCTCCTAACGTATGACAGTTTTATATAACCTTCAACATGAATGATTATAATAAATAATAAGTTAAAATATAAATAACTGACTGTATGTAACACATTGATTTCTGAAGTGAAAATGTTATTTTAAATGTTACATGTAAGACATCAGTGTGACATTAATTATTTTGTTTTTTTTTAAGAATTGAATTTTTTATTAACATGTATGTTTATTTCAGAAAATTTTATAATTTATTTATAACGAAGCTCTATATTTAGTAAGCAATCAAGAAGAAAAAAGGAAACAAAAACAATTAGGATGAATTTTATGTCATTATGTCATATTTGATTTTTAATATGCATTCTGCTTTAGTACAATCCTCATTTAAATACAGCATGGTAAAATGGTCACCAGCACAGCTTTATTCAACAAAGCAAAATATGAAATCGTCAAAGAATCATTATAATACATTGAAAATCACACCACATGCTACTCAGAATGAGGTGAAATCAGCATATTATAAATTAACTCTACAATATCATCCTGATAAAAATAAAAGTGAGCATGCGAAACAAAAATTTCAAGATATCTCAGAAGCTTACCAAGTTCTTAGCAGTCATGAATTGCGCAAAAATTATGATCGACGTATGATGCTTTATCAGCGACCAGTGTCAGCTACCAGTGAGGAATCTAACCCTCAATACAAAAGCAAGGTTTATTCAGGAACTTCAAAAATCTATAATTTTGATGCATGGACACAGGCACATTATGGAAAACAAATATATAGAAACAATATGAGGAAAAAAATTTACGAGGACTATCTAAAAATGGAAGAGATAAGATATCCTAAGGAGGAACCTCAATATCTAGGATATATTCTACTTTTGTTCACTATAATGATAATAGCTTGGGCTTGTCAAGAAAGTGTTGATGTGCCGGCACCTAAGAAACCTAAAGCAAAAGATAAAAATAATGATTAATCAATGTATTTAGTTAAATTGTATAAATTTGTTTTTACTAAATGTACAAATTTATTTTATACCCACCTATAATTGTTATTTATTTACTAAAGTAAGATAATATTAAATTACAAGAAGAGATAATAGAGATAATATATTTAAAATGTATATATAGATATATCTACATAGCATCTTTATAATAAAAGATTAAATGTACAACACACATACGGAGTTTATATATACAGGATGTTCTAAAATTTGCAAATCAAGATACTAGAGCAAAACACATAAAAAAATTAGTCTTTTATAATTGAATTTTTTAAAAAGCTTTCTGCTCTATGGTATTTTGATTTGCAAATTTAAGATACTGTATATGTCAAATATGTATTAACCAATAGATTATCTAAAATAAAAATAATAAAGAAATTATTTTAAAAAACAATTTAAGTGTAAAGAACATTGATATCAAATATTTTGTCACGATTGATAAGCGAGTAACAATATATTTGAAAAATAGATAAATTTGTAACATAACTTCACATTATTTAATATCAATATGGTCTATAAACTGGCAATCCTGATGGTAATGGCATTGGCATAATTCCAGGTCCAGTTGGATATGGTATGGAAGGCATCATTCCAGGAAAATTTGAAGTTGGTTGAATTGGATAGCCAGGAGTACTGTTCGAAGGATGGCCTTTCCTTATTAGTTCTCTCAACTTGTCCACTTTTACCTTGCGTAAATGCATTAATTTTCTTCGCGATAAAAACTGATCCAAAAATTCATCTACTTCAATATCACCCGCTAGGAATTTCTCCGCTATTGCCTATTGGAAAGATAATTATGTCAATTAGATATTTTTGTACAATAAGCTAGCAAAAGTTGCATTTACCTCTGATTCCTCTTCGATTTCAGCGGCAGCTGCTTGCAATAAATCCAAGGCGGTATCAACAGTCATTGCACCAGATTTGTCACCTATGAATATATAGTTTTGTAAATATTACCGTAATTTAAGCTTGATGCAATTCCAAAGAATAGAACTTGAAATTTTACTTTATTTAATTTGTTCGATGACTTACGCATTTCATCCAATTTGCCCTTAACGTTGGTGCATAACTGATTAGCTTGTTCACTTAATTCTTTTAAAACTTGTTTGCCATCTTCCAATTCAGGTTGCTTGGATAAATTGAATTCAGCGAGAGATCGATTACTTGCCATTAACATTTCCTTCTCCGTCTCAAATTCCTTGAACTAATTTTATTATACTTTAGTTTTATACCTTTGATATCATTTTTATGCTTATATATGTGCTGTTAACATATGATAACGCTTTTACGCTCATATATGTGCTATTAACATATGATAGTGCAAATCTTTTCTCCCTACTTGCGCATTGCACTTTTATTACAATTATCATACCTGTTTTATATCTTTTACAATATCTTCGAATTTTCCATCATCATTCAACAATTCTTTCAACTCATCATTGTCTAAATGAGATAGCAAACCCAATGCTGCAGGTATATCCGGTTCTTGATTCGATTTGAACATTTTCTTAAGACTAATAAAATACCAATGATTACTGTTTTAAATTGTCACAAAGCACACATACACATACAAGATACACATTTACAATAATGTAATGACAAATTTATTTTGATTCACTCTAATGTAAGATTCAGGCATAGACACTGAAAATAAGAGAGTTGTATTCAGGAAGGCCTAATCTTGAAATGATTTTGGAGACCTTATGTGGAGAAAATGTGAAGCTCCAGATTCAGAGCTAGCCAATCGTCGCGTGCTACATATCTGTCATTTTTGAACAATGAAAGACTGATTGGCTACTTTGTAAGTGTTTATCTTTTGCGAGCGTATCGTGTTCTATGTGCTGACGATATAAAGGAGATAGTGCAACACAGAGCAAAGTTTATTATCATCGTCATCATATACGTTATTTCTTCAGAAGCGGAGTTGAAGCAGAGTAAATCGGTTTGGAAGGTTTGTAATCGAAACTTGAGTTTTGCATGTTAATTTTAATAGGATTTATTCGTGTATTATCTAGTCTTTTAAATGTACTCATCAAAAATCCTGCCCTACAACGTAAAGATTTATCATTTAGAAAAGAAAATAAAGTGATTTTTGCGAGTTTGTTTTGAGGGCATTCGAGTCATTTCTTTTTCCACAATAGTTAATCATAGCTTGGTGCATATATAAGATACTTTTGCTAAAACTTTTATAATACAATTTTATTCTAATAAGTATTTAATATATTTAGACGTCTGTACTTTGATTTTAGATTTTTTTATTTACACATATTTATATATATATATTTATTTCAGAGACGCAGTAAAAATGTTTACTCTTAGAAGTAGCATATTTTTAATACTTTGCGGTAAGTTATTTAAATAATTGTACAATAGTTAATAGATAATTGTAGAGTTGTTTGTTCTTTACATACTTTTATATATTTTTTTATTATATTAGTTTAATGTTATATATATTTTTAATTTTATAGGAATATGCTGTGCAACAGCGTTCCATAAGAAACCTTTAACTGCTCCTACGTTTAGTAGAACATATACAGTTAAAGGAACTTTATATATACCGTATGCAGAGATTCGAGAGCCTTTCTATGCATGGTATGATGGCAATAGTGGGTCTAGTAGGATTGACTACTATGGAGGTATTTATTTGAGTTTTTATTTATGTGTAATATATATAATAAATAGGACATATATAACTTTTTTTTATTAATAGGAATGGTTAAAACCTTTCAACTCTCACACAAAGGACAGTACGGAGCTAGCATAAAAATAGCGCCTGTTACTACAGAGTCTATTTCTAACGAAGAAACCTGTCTTGAAGTAAATGGCACTAATAAAAACAAAATATATCCTCAGTCCATTGTTCCTGATACATCTGAAATGGAGGTAAAAGAGAACAAATTTGTAATTTTATATAAATTATTTACACATATGTGTAAAATGTATTTTATATGATAAAAGATAGCAGAATTTAATAAAGTAGAATTTTTATATATATAGTGCATTGGAGAGGAGATGATTAATGGATTATTGTGCGAAAAATGGCGACTTGTACAAGAAGTTGGAGATAAAACAAACAAGTATACGCTTTGGATACGTTATAAGGTAAAAATAAGATTATGTGCATATAATTGCAATAGAAAATAATGTTCATAGTATTTAAGAGAAAAAGTTTCTTGCAGAAAGTATCATATTTACCATCAGTCAAGGAACCTATACCTGTGAGATATGAAATGAAAGGATTTAATAGTCTTTTGGGTTCACATTATGATCATTATTACTTAGAATACGATTGGTATTCCTATGAGCAACCTTCTGATGATGTCTTCAAAATTGCAGAAAGTATGTATGAAAATTCGATTTTTATAACAGTTTGTTTTGATATAAAAAACTTTGTTTTTAAAGTGACTATTTTTATATTGTATTCTGTTATAAAGAAAATATTATTTGCAGATGCCACGTGTGTTAGTTTTCCTGGCCCAGGTGAAAATCACATATACACTTTTAATCCAATGTATGAATTTATTCATCATGACGAAGACCATCTGCACGAAGCATTTGACAAGTTCAAAAAGACCCATCAGAGAGAATACAAGGATATTTTAGATGATGTGCGCCGCAAGAACTTGTTCAGACAAAATATAAGGTATGCAGCACACATGCGCGTGCACGCACACACTGAATTAAGTTATATATAATACAATTCTTTTAAAGACTGTTATTTGAAAAAAACCTTCCAGATTTATCCATTCTACAAATCGCGCTAATTTGGGCTACCAATTAGAGGTGAATCATTTGGCAGACCGGAACGATCTTGAATTGAAGGCTTTACGAGGCAAGCAATATACTCCAGGTTACAATGGTGGAGCTCCATTCCCACATGATATCGACAAGGAAATCAAAAATGTTCCCGATAGCATAGATTGGAGATTATATGGTGCAGTGACACCAGTTAAAGGTTTGTAATTTCACTATAATATATTATAATCACTTATGCTTCGACATTATATAGGATCCATTTTGACTTCTTATGCAATTATCTTTGAATCTAGTGGTTGTATCAGACATCTTTTTAAATAAGACTCTGGAGGAAAACATTTTTTAATTCTTTCATTGCACTATATATGTATATTGTCGAAAAGTACCCTATCAACTGCTGGATACAGAGATAATTGCATAGAAAGATTGAAGTGAGACATTACGTATGTGATTTTAGTCAATCATATTAATATACTTTATTTGAACAGATCAGTCCGTTTGTGGTTCTTGTTGGAGTTTTGGTAGCACTGGAGCAGTAGAAGGGGCGTACTTCATGAAGTACAAAAAGTTAGTACGTCTGTCTCAGCAGGTAAGCGATTTGTGAAAGTTTTTACAAATTCTGTTGTTTTATTTGATAAATTTATAATACCGCAGGCAATAATATTAAGGTATTAATACTTGTAGGCTCTCATTGACTGTTCATGGGGCTTTGGTAATAATGGTTGTGACGGTGGAGAAGATTTCCGATCATATCAGTGGATTATGAAACACGGTGGTTTGCCTACTGAAGATGATTACGGCGGTTATTTGGGACAAGTAAATCATTCATATTTATCAAAAGATTGAAAATAACATTTGATTGTTAATATAATTTATAACATATATAGAATGAAAGATGTAACGATTCTTCCTCTTTTCAGGATGGATATTGTCACATAAATAATAATTTAACATTAACAGCCAAGATCACGGGTTACGTTAATGTTACTCCAAACAATGTAGATGCTTTAAAGATCGCTATTGCTGAACATGGTCCTATTTCAATCGCTATTGATGCGCGCCTCAAGACATTTTCTTTCTACGCTAATGGAGTGTACTATGATCCCACTTGTGGTAAGATTTAAATTTTTGTTATAGTAGTTTTCAAAAATTTTTTTTACATATTGATCTGTCATACGTTATAGATTTTTTAAATTTATGCGATACTGATTTTTATTGCTTAGCATTGAAATCTTATATTTTAAACGTAGAAATGGTTTTGAATGTTAAAATGTACATTTTATACATTTTTATGCCTTAGAATGTTATATCATATCGATATGATAAGGCATAGAAATGAATACAATATACATATATTTTAATATTTTAAATCATTTCTTTACATTTATAAGATTTCAATGCATTGCACTAAAGAAAATGTACATTAAAATATGAATTAAATTTACTTAATTTTATTTATTTTAAATTTTTATAAAAGAATATGCGCGCAATGTTATGTTTTAGTGCGTATAAATTTAAGGAGCAATTATATTTTTTTGCATAGGTAATACCGAGGATAAACTTGACCACGCTGTTTTGGCTGTTGGATATGGCACTTTGAATGGAAAAGACTATTGGTTGGTAAAGAATTCTTGGTCGAATTATTGGGGTAACGATGGATATGTTTTAATTGCCCAGAAAAATGACAACTGCGGAGTTCTGCTTGCTCCTACGTACGTTACTATGTAATTATATCTTTATTTTTTTAAATTTGTACATTATTTACAGCTCTCTAATGTCTCCAATAAACAAATAGTTGTAAGTAAATGAAAATAAGAGAGGCTGCATAAAATATATTTAGTTATTTAGCAACATATTTCGTGATGAGCAATATAAGCTGTAATTGTTGGAGATACTTACTATGTTTGTTATATAATAAAGTGCGAAAATTATTATAAGGGAGAATAAAGGAACATTTTTCAATTAAGAAAAGTGTCCATTTAAAACAGTTTTTATTGGCATTAAAAGACGATTATTTAGAAAATAACTTTATGTGAGAAATATACAGAGGAAAACGTAGCACACATTGATGTAGGGTGAATATTTTCTTGTTAAATAATAAGTTTTAACTTATTTTTTAACAAAGAATCGCTCGATATTCAATATGTACTACGCTTTCCGCCGCATATATATGCAATATGTATAAACAATACTATTACTGAAATCTGAAGTATATTAATAATAAGCGAGGCAAATTGAAATAATCGCAGAATTGAAACAGGCGTATACGTTTCCTATAGAATATTGTTTTATCTTTAAAATTGCTATTTTTAATTAATATTTAATACAACAATTTCGTATAATTCAAATTAATATAATGTGAGCTGAATTTATCGGTAATTTTGTTGCCAAAGGACAAAGTAATTTTTGCATTTTGTTTTGTTTTTTTTGAGACCCGAAAGTTAATATGATATTTTCCAATATATTTGTTTTAATAACTTTGTTAACGAATATAATACGATATATTCAGAAAATGTCTATAAATTGTTTTTACACGTAACGATGTCAACCACAATTAGCAATTATACTATTCCGTTCCTGTTTTTATTATATTAATGCATTTTTTCCGTTTGTCAGATAGCCTTGTACAATTCCAAAATACGGTAATAACTATATAATATCTTTACAAATATATAAATACTTTTTGTAGTGCATTTGTGTCCAGTGAGAGCATCATGTGGTAATGTGTATATTGATATGGATACTTTCAAAATATACATAATTAATGCTGCTTATAGTTATATTTGCGACATAAAGAGACTAAAGGAATGTTGAAAGTACACGTGGCATGACGAACACATATATATATATAGACAATTAATGAAAATATAACGAATTGTTGAATTGTCCGCAGTTAAATTTGCGCGCAGTTGTGTTACGATTATTACAATACTAGTTTGTGGAATGATGGAAAATCTCGTACAGAACAAACCGTGTGAAAAGACAACAATAACAAACGCTGTGCTTTACTAAAAAATCTGTCGCCGTACAATTCGGTATCGTAAAAATCGTTTGATTTCACCATTATTCATTCGTCATTCGGAAGTGAAGGTATGCAAACGTAATGCGCTTAAGTACATGAACGATATTGGTTGCACAGAATCCGTTTCAGTTTGTATGATACACATGACTAAGAGCCGGAACTCGCCGAAAAAAAATCACATTATACATAAATCTTTCATTTTTTTCGAATTTGTCCGCGCGTTATCACTAAATTCTTACTTTCATTCTATATCACTTGCGGACGAGGCATCCGACCGAGCACATGGAATATTTCGATACTGGCGAATGTAGCCATGACAATTGTGTGGTGGTGTCGATCCTCCCCCTTCACATATATTACACGCGATAAGTTATAGAACTGATAAGAGTTGCTCCAGAGGGAAAGAAGAGTGTAAGCATAGTCTTGTCTCTAGATTTCCTTGTTGGTTGCACAGAAGTACGCATCATACGACCGAAACACATTTCCTGGCTGAGAACGTTCTCTCTATATCAATTTGCTTGATTAAAGAAATCCCATTTCTAAGGCATTATAAAGAGCTTGAGTGTCCGAATGACTGTTTATCCTCCAAAAAGGAAAATTGTGTGCTCGCGCTGCCGTTTCCTCGTCCGAGTCGTCGCCTATCACCACGTACGTACACCTACGGCCAAATCGAGCGACCACTCTACCAAAACAGCTTTCCTTTCCTGAAACGAACATACAATTTTATGACAAAAAATGACAAAAAAGAAATAATTGAATTTTGCATTTGTCTCCAAAAAGAGCAAATTCTAACAGATTAATTTTTATAGATTTAACACTGATGCGCAATAAAAAATAAGATTTTCAATTTTCAATTGATATTCTAATTCTAATATTTTTCATCCAATCAATAATCAATATTAATAAATCAATTTCCTTGATAATGTGCGATTAAATTACCGATTTTGGAAGCTGAATATATATTCTCTATAGGGAATATACCACCGATGCCAAAAAGCAGAACCTTAGAGAGCGCGGGCACCAGCTGCGAGGTCGTCACTAAAATATTGATACAATGACTTCTCTTATTGATAATATTTAGACACTTCACGGCCGACGTCAACCAATTATCGGTCAATGCCTCGATTTCCGAACGTTGCTGCAGCCACTGTTCACGCTTCGTCGTGCCCAGAAGGCCGCCTACATTGTTGCGATAATTGCAATAGACCTCCTTGATCTTGCGATAGCGAAACGCCAGCTTTCTCATCCAATCGACGCCACCGCGCACCCCGGACGCTAGGCATATTCCGTTATTCGTGGACGCGCACTGAAAACCGTCGGTCGCAAAATTGTATGACGACAAATCCTGCCCGTTGTCGTCCGACGAAACATCGTCTATATGCACTTGATCGCAGTCCTGCAACAAAAAAAAAAAAGAAATACACTAAACTCGTATTTAATGACACGAACAATTGATAGCAGCATTATTAAAATTACCGATTACATTGATTAAAATTTTTTAAGTGTGTTATCTGCCGCAGAAATTATTTGCGCGGATCGAATATAGGTTTTGGAAACTTTCGCTTTGCTATAATTTTGATGTAATAGGAGGAAATTTCTCTGTCACCTCGATGTCGTTGAAGAAAAAATGTGTGTCCGCCAGACTGAATATCATCTCTTCCATTCTGTAAGCTACTTGAGCCAGACGGGTCGGATCTTTACCATGCTTCGTGGCGAATTGCCCGGTTATCAACGAGTGAAACACGACTATGGTTTCGTCGAGATCCCATATGAATATACGCTCGGGTCCGGCCTCCGTCGTGTCCGCAGAGCCGATACTGTTTCCGCTTCCGCTCTGTCTCCTTCCGCGCCTGCATGGCTTCGTCGTTGCTACTGCAAAAAGTTATGGTTCTTACACATATTCTTTCTTCAACGAATATTACAAGTATTTCATTTCACTTATTGTCGTAAATTACGGACGGATTTACGATCGTTGAATCGTCGGAGCCTTTATAATTTTGGTTAATTTGAACATTTTTATTTAAAAAAAAACTATCCGCAAAGCGCGCGTCTGATAAAAGCAAAAGAATAAAGTATTACCTTCGATATTTGCGGTTTCCCGTGCGGTGAGATCACTCGCGTCGTGCGTCGTTGGGTCTAACGTAAGCGCAGATTTCGTCGAATCTTCTTGCGCAACAAAACAACGTCGTTAATTATAAGCGAATAAGCTTTTCCTTGACAAACAACGTTCATCACTGCTTCGTCATTATATGAATTTATTTTGAAAAATTTCACTTGCACGCTTTCCTCAGAAGGAAACAAGAAAGTGTAATCTAACAGTAGCTTAATAAAACGGTAAAAATTACCAGCAAAATTGAGATTTCCGATGTTGAATGACGTCGGCGGCGCGTGATAACCAGGTACGGGATAATATCCGGAATATTGAAGCGGTACCCTGTCGTTCGTGTACAAACTACTACTGTAAGCGCTATAATCTAACTTCTGCGGAAAAGAGAGAGAAAGAGAAGCGAGGATTATTCGTGAGCCGAGAGAAATTAACGAACGAATTAAACATCTCCTTTGAATTCTACTCGCATCTTTTCGGGATAAGATCAGTCATCTTTACCTGGGAGGCCGACGATATATTTTGCGCCACGTTCGGGAAAGTTGTCGTCCCGCTGTTGTAACCAGCATAGGACGGATACTGTGTCATCGAGCTCGACGATGTGTAGGAGCTTAGATACGAGCTCTGCAAGCTCGACGCGTTCTTCGCGGCTGTCGTCGATCCGTAAGACGGCGAGTTGTACAAACTGGAGCGAATTACAAATAAATGTAAATGTATTTTCTCCGTTTTAATATTTAGAGTAATTTTTTTTGCCGAGTATTGTATCGAATTAACGTTCAATTACCTGTTGTAATATTGATTCGCGCCGTACAGGGATCCATAATCCGTCTTTTCCATCGAATCCGGATACTCTTGCTCCTTCTCCTCGGCATTCTCGTCGATGTACAGCTCTCCGCCGGGTACGCTGTCATTTTCGGGGCAGTCCTGCACCTCGTTCTTAACTTCGGTCTCTATTACAAAAATGAGTAAGCAGTTTGTTTATGAATTGCCTGAAATGTCTTATGTTCCGATTAGTGATCTAGATTTGCCATTCTTTTCCTTTCTCCCTCTTATTTTTGAGAAATAAAATTATTGATTATAATAAACATGACGAAGTGTAAAATTCTCGACTTAGATGCACCAATGAATAGACAAGCACTAACAAATAATTGCTAGTTTCCAGTATTAAATTTTCAATTGAAGTTTCTGAACGATATATCTTTTGTGCGTATAAAGATAATGGCGTTTGATAATTGGGATCTATTTGTTAAATGATATGATCGTTATAATCGGTGCTATAAAATACAGTTAGATCTTTTATTTACCATTATTTGCGGCGCGAGGATGCTGCACCGAGGCTTCTGTTGAGGAAGACACGTTGCCAGCATTGTCTAAGACACCTGCTGGTTTTGTCGGATCATTGTCTTCGGTTAACATATCACTTTATCTGAAATGACATAAATTACCAATTTATTTATGACGCAAGTGATTCCAAGTTCAACAGAGAACGATATGAAACACATTTGTAATTAAAATACGATCGGATATTTTTACGGCAATGTCAGTTTAGAAATTTCTTTAGTCTACAAATGAAAAGTCTTTCCCTTCCTGTACACTTCGCGATTGATCTCGTTATACAATCGTTGTAGCGAGGCAAGTCTGAGCTTTCGGAAGTGTGTAATAAAAGGAGAGCGCTGTTGTAACACTGCGAGACCACCGTTAACGCACGGACTCGAACTCGCAATGTCACTTCTAGCTTATAATGTTATTCGTAATATCATTTGTATAACTCATAATATGATGAACTTGTTTCTCTTAGCTTTTTCCATACGTATAGTTCGCAGACTCTGAAAAAGTTACATTCGCAAGTGCCTTTAAAAAGATGTCCATCATAAACAAAATATATATTGTATTGATTATAATTACAAGCAAGAGAGAATCTTTTCTCTCAATAACTACAATTTAAATTTTTTATATTTAATGTTCTAGAGAAATAATAAAACTTTATTTGGTTTAAGTGATGTTTTGGCTATTGAATTGTCCTTCAAATTTCATTAGAATTGTGGTCTAATTAAAAAGAACTTTTTTATTTTCTTTTGTCGACATATTAAAAATAAAAATTGGAAGTAAATCATAGAAACAAGGGCTTAAACCAATTTTAATTATCTCTAATTATATGTAAAAGAAAATTTCGCTCTAGAAAGAAATTTCCAAAGAGTTGAATGCAATTTTGTAGCATAAAGGCAGATTGCACCTGCAAGATTGCCAGGGTTCGTTCGCGTGTGAACTTCATGATTGTCTGCCGATTGCGTGTTGAAAAGGTGGAGTGACTGGCTAGGTAGGCGTATACCACGAGGCACCGAAACCAATGGAACGTCACAATGCTTTATATACATTACATATATACATATATATTCTTTACGTCGTCAAGTCACTATCTATCTACACACTCCGCCTTCGTGCGTATTTTTCACCTCACGACGAAATATACCTTCTGTACATGAAGGCTTCTTCCTGCTAATTTCATACACTAATGTAACTTGAGATCAACTTTTTGCGTAATGAGATTATGTTTGGATTTTTACAGTTTATTGCACTCTTCGATATTTGGAATTAAAAATATCGATAAGAAGCTTTCGAATTACGATATCTTTCAAGATAATTCAATTGAAGATCTGGGATTTGATTTCTTTATATAATTACAGATAAAGTATGAATTTTTTATTTCGCGCAAAACGTACACTCAACTGCTGCACAGCTTTTCAATAAACTCGAACAAGAAAAATAGAAAATAAGGAAACTTGTGATGTAGGCAAACTTCTTTGGTTTGTCGCTATTTTGCTTCAAAATTTATTAATTTTATTATTTATTTTTTGCACATGTTTATACATATTTACAATTCATTATGGATATCTTTTACTCAAGATAACAATTCACATTGAATTTGAAGGATGACATGCAACCCTGCAGTCGAATATTAAAGAGCAAAATTTCTCATCCGTTTCATCAAACCTAATTTATTGTAAAAATCAAAGTTCGTACTTCGATTTTTTTTTGCAAGAAAATTGACTCTTAATTTTCAATCAAGAATGCTATCGCCGGTTGGAAGAGCGGATGCGAATTTGTCGCCACCTTGTATATCATTGTGGCTCATCTCGTTGCTGTCGGTCGCAATATAATGCACAGCGAAGCGAGATGAAAGGCACTCTGCTTATCTAAACAAAAGCCTGTATGCCGAAGTGTTTATCGCGGGGCGAGTTGCTTAGCTTGCTGTCTGGGGCTTGGTTGTCTGTCAACCGTCAGAGAAACGAAATGCGGCGAAACGAGAGGAATGCCGGCCCGCTCGCCCGCAGGACTCTCCACTCGGTCGCCTAATGGGTCAGTTTACGTCGTCGTCTCGGCCGTGGAAAGAAAAGGAAAAACAAAACTCTGGGGAGATAGCCACAGAGTTCGCCGAGACAAAAGCTTTTTGTCCGAGCTCAGTTAGCAGTGTCCGAAGAAATGCAAGTTTTTCGGGTATATTTCTCTATCGAAAATCTATTTTCTCTTCCGACCGGGAGCTCTCTTTTCGTCAACCAACATCATGTTACTCGGAAATTATTTGCGAAACTCCGTTTTGTTCTAATAAAAAAAAGATTGTTTTTTTTTTAATTTTGTTTGTTAAATTCACTCGAACGGAGGATGTAAATTATTAAGTAACATTATTTTCGTAATCTTTCATCGTGAGATTGTGCATGCAAAAATTACAACGTCATCACGTTGATATATCTTATTGCATCCGTACGATAAGACTTACTGCTCTTGCGTCGTTCGTAGTTTCGCGAAATATTTAAAAAAAATATATATATTTTGGAGAAACTGTTGTGCTGTTAACTTACAATATGTGACAGGCTTTTCGAAGAGGAAATATATCGTCTGATATTGTACGTGACGCACGGCCAATTAAAATACATTATTGCCATAACGAGCCGAATGAGATGCATAAGTTACGCATGCTCAATTAATAATGACGTTTACGCGTAGTGCGAACATCCGCATAACAGCCTCTTGTGGCTCTCTCGTTTATTTAGCAGTTTCATGGAAAAAAACTTACATATGCAAAACTTTAGTACATTGGCGCACTCCTGAAACGGATCGTTTTAATTTCTGGCGTTTCAATTCGTGTAAAAAAATACTCATCTCTTTATTTTTACATTTACGTAATCAATATGAAACTAATTTACAAAAAAAGTATAATTTCTGAATTATTCTTCTAGAAGTAAACCAATCAAATATTTTAAATCTGGAAATTATCCGAAGAACATGTTGAATATCGAAGTCACGTGTATAAGATTCGTGAAAGCGAATTAAATGTAATGTATTTGTTAATTATCTTCAATTATGCATATATGCGAAGTACAATTCTGTCAGTTTGAAGATGAAAAATGTTGAGAAATTATCGGATCAATCGTGCTCAGCGAATAAAATTGGTTTTCTAAATTTTTTATTGTGTGATAATTGACACGAACTTAAAGAAAATTGATATCTAATATAAGCCATGTTTTTTAAATAAACTATATTATTAGATGTTTCATTATATATTCAAGATTTTTTTATTGCTGCATTTTTATTACTGCATAATTAAGAAACGTGTAAATTCAGAAAAAGATTTTTTAACTTATAACTGCATTTCAGTAAAGGCAAAATAATATTAAATCAATTCAATTTATCAACTGCATCATTTATTTGTTTCAACATTGTCGCTATTCATATTGATTGCAATTTAAATAAACAAAACTATGTAGTTTTAAATAGCACGAAGTCGTTAACATCATTAATATTAACAACTTTCTTTCTCGGTCTGAAAAAGGACAAATTATTATTTTTCAAGCCTTCTGTTCTCTCTATTTCATATATTTAATTTTTCTTCTGTCTTAAACTTCATTAATTTCTACGTCGTTAAAAAGATCGGAGATTATATGCTTAGATCACTCGTGTCAGACTCGCAGCGTTCTTGTTGCATTCTTCGGCATTCATTTCTCATATCGTCGTGAATATATTAAATTTTATAAAACACAGCTGTCTTATGAAACTATACGCAAATATATCGGCAAGCGTAACCAATTCAAATGTTTAGGATGCGGCAGATTCCTGTTTTGCTCAAATGATTCTACCGTGGAGTTGAGTTCGACACGGCTGATCTGGACGACGTGCATGAAGGGCATCCGAACGATTGGGCATAGGGACGAATCCCGATTCGCTATTCGTGGGTCCGTTGCTCCGCTAAGGGGCATAGAGGGAAAAATGCTCGTAATAAATCAGCAATGCCGATCAAACCTTGCACTTTGTCGCTGACTGCAGACTCGAAATTAGCGCTGACGACGAACGTTCAGGGAAGTCGTCGGCGATATCCTCCTGACAACAGCATCGTTATCCCGGTCGGGGATGAAATGACGCGTACGTGCGCGCGTGTCTACGTGCGTGTGCAAGTGCGCCGCTGTTCGCGGATTCACCCGGCGAATTTATCGTAATTCACTTCTCTCGCATCTTCCGCAGACCACGGGAACATCGTGCTTCCTGCCGACCACCCTGCCCGTTACGTCTCGCGCACCACCCGGCGTACACACATACGCGCACATATGCACACCCCGTCGGCGACAACGTTGCTGTCGCCGAGCGATATCCACGTCGAGTCGGGCTCAAGTTTCTCCGCTTCGATCGCGAGCGGAAGCGAGAAACGCCGGACCGAACGTACCCGCGAGCGTGCAGCGTCCGTTTCGCTCGTTATCGCGCAAAGGGGGTGCAGTACAACCCCTGGAGTCTCAGACGCGCACCCGGGAATCGAGCACCTCTCACGATCTCGCAATCGAACAAAGGAGATTCCCCGTTTTCGATTCTCTCCCGGCGCTCTTTTTTTCCGGAGGAATCGTGGAATCAGCGATCCGACGGATTTCTCACGACAGACTCGTTAACATTGTTTCCCCGGCGCGTCGTACGGAGATAAGTATCTCGATGGACCCCGCCGAATGCGTGTGTGCGATACGCCGCGGCTTGTGAAGTTCTGAGCATGCGAAATGTCGCCTGCCACCCCCGCCCGGTGATCACGTGGTCGCCTGTTCGTTCGGTTGCTTCCTCTCTGTCGCACTTTCTCTTTCTCGCTTTCTCATCCCCCCTTCTCTCTCTCTTTCTCTCTCTCTGTTACTCTGGCCTCTCCTCATCTCGTCCCGTTTCATTTTTTTCACCTCTCTTTGTTCTGCTCTCGTGCGACGTCTCTCTTGTTCTTTAACTTCCGCTTCCCCGCCTTTTACCTATCTCGATTTATTTCTGTTTCTTTTTTTTTTCCCTCAAATTTTTATCAAATTGTCCGAACGCGCCCGCATGCATCTATGAAATTGGCTAAGTTATATTAACAGATTAAAAAATTATGATTTTAAAAATATTTTTCTTCTCTCGTTCATTGTTTATTTTATTTTTAATTTTCTATTGTATATTTTTACATTTAATACTTCTTCTTTTCTCTTTTTTATTATCACACAAATCGCTCCTTTTTTACTTGTTCCTGTTATCTTTCTCTATCTCGTCTGTCCGGTGTTTTATCTTGCTCTTACCGGTACATGCTTGTTAATTAGAGAAAGAGAGAACAGAAAGAGCCGCGCGCATAATGCATAGATGCATAGAGATGGTGCATCAAGCAAGGAAGGAAAAAGAGATGACAATCCCCGCAAGGATGACTGACCGCACAATCATTTGGGCTTAGCAAACCCACGGACCTGAGCTCACACACTGCGGTCATGCATACACAGATTCACTTAAACTCACATCTACACGTACACACGATGACAAAGAATTTTAGAAGAGAAACAGTAAAAGTGTGAATTAGGCTCGGATGTACATCAGGTTATGTTGTTATTGGCAGCCAAATAGGCTCCGGTAACGACCTTTATATTTATATTTATATTTATATTTTAATTACAAAAAGAGATGACAATGAAGAGTAGAAAGGTGAACGGAAAAAAAGAGACGGATAGATAAATAGAGTGAAGAAAAAATGATTGGAAGAAGAGAGGAAAACTGTTCTGAGTTAATAAAAAGAGAAAGATAGTTTACAGCTACATTCGATTAATTGTCATCTCCTGTCATCATTTATACTAATCGCTTGGCAATAATATCCTTTTCCGGTAAAATTAAAAACAATCTATAAATGATTTTGAAAAGTATAGTAAAACGCGCGAATTTTAAAATAGTTGTCGCGTTAAATAAATTTTTTAAGAATCTTTGAAACGGAAGGAAGATGAGGGATGCGTTAAATTAAAAACGCTTCTTTCACGGTAAAGGAAGAAGACCGGTAAAATTACTCCTGATAATATCTGGCTTTACATCATTCAATCAATTAAGGACATCACTATTATTCGATTAGAAAGTCTCTCATTCGATTCTCTCACTGCACATTTAACGTAATAATATAACTATTTAACAAATAATATTTCATTATTCAATATCCTTATAAGTATTTGATAAAATCCTTCTTAATTAAGTTATTAAAACTGTCGTCCATGAATGAGTGATGGGACGCTGACGGAAACAGATGCGTCATCTACGGATGACGTGATAGTCATCAATGTTCGTTAATTGTTAAATGTGATTATTTACTCGTCAAAATAATCGATTATTGTCTTGAAATTGCTATCGAAGATATAAAAAACTTTTTAATCGATCCTCTCGTTGCTTTTGTATTTGCAAACTGCGACCATCTTTTGGTTTCTCCATCTTTTTTTCACCGGGCGACGGAGAATTCTTAACGGGAGATCCACGCCACCGGCACTACGTCATACTCGGTGTGTTCTTGGAAAGCGGGAACATGTCCGCGTTCTCTTTTTTTCTCACTTTATCGATTACGGCGCGATAAAAACGCTACGAGATATTCGCTTCCTCTCTCGCTACGTGACAAAACAAATTAGGGCCTCCACGTCATGAATGAAATAATGGGGGGCGAAGGGACAGCCACTCGTGAATTATTAATGTGCATCCTTTCGCAGCCATTAAAATTCAGAAAACTTGCGCCTCGTAGAAAGTAAATAAATGTTAAAAGAAATTGATGAAGAAATTAATACCAAAATCATCACAGATAATTTTAAAAATATATTCAACGTTATCTTTTTTTTCTTTCTATTTTATTCTCTACTCTCGATGTGCAATACGTTATTTACTTACAAGGAGACATTTTTTTCTTCTATCTTTATATCTTACAAAGAATCTTTATTCAATTTGCAAGGTAAAATTGATATAGCTGAATGTTTGACTTTTTAAAATGTGTATTCTTTTTTATGTAAGATGCATTATTTTTTTTCTTTGTTTTATGGTTGTATATTAGATCTAAAACTCTTTTACGGTTAATGTAAAACTGCAACGGCAAGAGTAAGTCTGAATTTTTCAAGAACGATGACGAAAATGAGAAACAACATGGGTGGCAATATAATTTTGTATATCCTGTACCAACATCCGTTGTACGTTTTCCACTAGCTTGATGGACTCTCAAATTTCGTTAAAAGTCTCGCTAACGTTACCATAAAAGCATCTCAAGAAACTTTTCCGTTCTAAGCGCTTCGCTCCCGAACGCTTTTGTATTCGCGCTTGTTTTCAAGTATTATTTCGCAGCTTGTGTCCACAAGTATATTTGATTGTAACATAAAGTGTGTCTTTCTTTATACACAAAATTCGAAATATTAAATATACTTGTAAATATATTTGCAAATTCGAAATTCTAACGAGCTTGTGTTTTATCATCCATCAGTAGGTTTTCATTTTCTTTGCGAATAAAATACTTTCAACTTCCTGTTGAAACAAAATTTACGATAGCAGTGTCGACACTCGGGATAAATGCAATACACGTCTCGAAAGAAATATCGATTCCAACCTGCTACGGATGTTATTGCGTTTCCCAAGAGTCACTCGACGTAGAGACGTGCGTGATAAGAAGAGACACGTGGAGTCGGCATCATTCTGTGGTCGCGCAGCCGGACGATCACGATGAAAAGTTCATGATATTTCTATAAAATCAAAGCATACGAATTTTATAACTTGCAAGAGAGAAAGAGAGGAAGAGAAAGGCAGATAGATAAAGAGCAAGTTTCAGGTTTTTTAATAACTGAATTGTAGAGTCCAGTTTTCAGCAAGTCTCTTTTTTTTTTTTTAAGTTTAAGAAAAAGAAAGTTTTAGAAAATCGTGGATCCGACCCTGTTGCAGAGACCACCCAGATACATGTGTACAGGTATGAGCACTCCAGCAAAAGTGCGGAGACATAAGGGTGATATCGTATAGGTCGCGAGACATGCAGGTTATTGCTAGCGCCAGGAAAATATGCCGGCATCGTCATTGTTAGTATTATGAAATAATGAATTTTTGTCAGCTCTGGAAAGTTTCCTAGCACTTTTGGGAATATAATTTATCGATCATTCACTACTTCAAGTGTTTGGAGACCTACATACGCAGGATTGTCATAAATCATTATGTCATCTGAAATCCACCTCTTAGAATCGCAAAGGGGAATAATGGATATATGTATTGACACACTCGTCGGTGACGCTATCGAAAGAAGATTAATGAGGTGCTGCATGTTTAATATGCGATGGATATTATTAAGTATAATTTATGTATTTTAAATAATTCTATTTCGAAATTGGATCGACATTTTCACTAGATCAAGCGTCCAATTATCTTTAAAATCAAGGATTTCAATTGAATTACCAGGTAATCGGGACCTCCTCCCCCTCTTTTCTTGATGAATTAAAATTGTATGTTAAGATATACAAATATATTTTATATTTCTCACATGGAAATGATAGCAATAAAAAATATTTCCAGATTTAGTTCCAGAAATGAATAGAACGATTGAGTAAGTGCTTGCTTTTGGAAGCGTCGGAATTGATCGTCGAACTTTCCGCAACGAACATATACCGCACATACGTAAAATACGGTCTTGCAGAAGTGAATGCACACATGTGCAGAGGTTTTGTAGGTGAGCTTCGAACCGAAGCTAACAAAAGTAAGCGAGATATCTCTCTTCCCATTTTGTCAGCGTGCTCGTATGCTGGGAGATGAATGTGCGTGTGCAATGAGGATGTCAGTGTGAGTAAGTATGTACCAACGTACTGTTCTCCCTGTTTCACCCTGTTATACAGGGTGTCTCGGGATTACTAAGGAATGCATCGATCACCACGATGATTCATGATCGGTCGAAAAATATATCTCGAAAAACGATCTAATAAAGTGGCTGAAGAGAGTTGCGTAGCCAGTAAAATCAACCACTTCCCTTTCCACTTCTTGCTGAATGAGAATTAATATGATAGAAATATGAGAATTACTGTATTATCTCGATATAAAACTTGACAGACACAAGAAGTAGCTTAGAAAATTCTTCTTTTGCAACTTTAACTGCGCTCTTTTCGTTTCAAACCTGCTGGGAACAATATACTAAGTGCCGAATATAGAAAAGCAAAGGATCTACTTGAACGCATCCTTTTTCATTTTCAGTGCACAGTCAGTTTTTTTAAATTTTTATGAGAAACAGACGCTTAGCGAGAGTAAAAAGGAATGCAAAATTTAAAACCACAGTTTCTGATTCTAATCTGATCAAAGACTGAGTGCTGGAAGTTTCGTCAGAAGCAGACTTTTTCTCGCATTCCACGCGTGCGTGCGCGAATTGAGTCACATTTCTGCGAGATCATCCCTCAGACGGTGGTGATGGAACAAATGATTTTCAGCAAAGACACCTTGTATGTGCATATAACGCAAGCGCAGGCAGCTGTCACCTTACACCCATGGAGAAGGCATGGGACTGCGCGGCGGCCATTCTCAACTTATCTCTAGGATCTTTGTAAACATGTCGTGAAATCCGAGTATTCTGGCAGTGGCGTAGATCACAGGGTGGAAAGGATCTACGGAGAGGCTGCTACGAAAAATTCAAATGATCAACTAACAGATAGCCGCTGTAAATCTTGAGAAATTTTCGAACTTTCAAGTACATAGCAAACGCGCAAAAATCATCTTTACGCTTATGTGTGATTTCATTAATAAAATCAAAATTAAAAAAAAATTTTTTTAAAAAAAAAAATTTTTTTTTTATTAAGTTTAGGTACTATAAATGTGTGTGTATTGGATATATTTAATTAAAAAGAAATATGGTGTATTAAGCAATAATTAATGTAAGTAATAATTAAGTAAAGATCAATTAAAAGTTCTCAAACTTTGAAGAATGTTACTTATCTACGCGCGATACATAAAATTAATTCACAAATGCTTCGTGTTTTTAAATTGTTCATATATTGTTCTAGCAATTTTTTCGCAAATTTAAATATTTTTTATATTATTTTAGAATTTTATTTGGAATAATTAAACAAACCGAAAATCAATGTATTGCTCTAATATGTCTATTTTTTTCTTTGGAGAACTAAAACATTTATTGATATTACGTTGGTCTCGATGTAATATCATTGCAACGCTGCATATTCTCGTGATTTCTTAATTACAAATATATTATAAATTTAATGCTGAAAACAGAAAGTAGGCATAAGAAAAATGATATTTAACCAAATCTTTATTAAGAAAGAATTGATTTCAAGCAAGTAGAAAATTTCGCAAGTCAACTTTGCGTAGATACTTAGTTTCTTAGCACCCCTTATATTATTCGAGGGTTTCGGGGCGAATTGGTATTCCGATCGATCGAGTTTTAATACATCGGCGTACATTGGCCGTCCCTTCTTTTAATTATTTTATCTTACCATACATATTTTATCGTACCAGAATTGATTCCTTGTATATAAATGAATTAAAATGTATAAAAAAAGACCCGTTTATTTAATTTTTGAAGTCAGGAATTGTTCTTTGCAAAATTTGCAAATTTGCTTTTATTCCTTTCTATGTTTCATCAACGGTAAATTTTAACTTGAGCCAAAAACGCACAAGCTGTAATACAAGTAAAAGAATATATAATTTATAATTGAATACACTTTTGAAACAAATAATATTATTTCAATGCGTATATTATTAAATGAATAAAATGAATAAAAATACATATAGTTATTATTATATGACATTGTGAAGCTATTGTAGAAATTCTGAGTCTCCGGACTCGTTCAGACAAGAACCGCAGCAACGTGAAACATAATACAAGTTGCACCAGCCAGTCCTAAGCTAAGCCATGCGAAGCGGGCAGCCAGCGGCTAAGGAACGCGATGTACGAATCAGATTACATCTCACGTTGGTTGCTTATCTTTGTTCTTCATTTTACATCGCCTCGATTCACCTCATTTCGCTTCAGTAACCAATCTTTTAATCAGTGTCTTATAATAACGCTTGGACACACGAATATCATGCGCGAACAAATATTCTTGTTATTTCTCATTATCGATAGAAATTTCCGAATAAATTTAAATATTAATTAAAGTTAAACAGTGTAATTTTTTATGCAATATTAATAACAATCAAAGTACAAAATATATACGCGGATGAGAGATTGAGAACCGCAGAAAGGCTTCCTCGTTTGAATTTTACATAACTTTGCAACGTATGCATCACGCAATAAATGAAAGGGATAAACAAAAAATTATTTTCATATAAGTATTATCAGTTTTCTATATTTGTATATCAATAATTTTTAATATACATTGTGTATCTTATCAGAGCAGCGAACAATAAAGAAATAATTACTGTATCAAGAAAAAAACTGCTGAATACTGACAGAACTTAAATACAAGAGAGATACAACAAAGAGTAGACACAATAACAAAGTGACAATACAATAACGGAAATGCTTATTGCATCGTGATACAAAACGTTTTAATCAAAGTCAAATTTGACAATCTGATAATAATAAAATAATGAGTAGAAAAAGTCAGATAATTATCAGTTTTAATTAATCCTAATTATTCGATAAAAATTTCTATTATTATTTACGTTGTTTGCAATAGAAAACAAGACAATAATGAGAAAGAAATAACGATCAGACTGTTATCTTGTAATTGAACTTATCTGGTAATCGATTAATTTTGATACATGTCTTGTCTTCCATTGCTTAAATATTAATATAATATTAATTAATATTAATTATATTAATATTATTCGGTATCTGCACTGGAGGTCTGTAAGAAAACGGGAGCTTGCGTGCCTTGTGCAACTTGTATCAATTGTGGTTGCGTTTGAATCGGAGCAGTCTGTATTATTATCGGTTGATTGTTTCCACCCTGCACTTGCATGCGAATCATCTGTAGTTGTTGAGGAGTCAATTGAATCTAATAAAAAAAGGCATATAGATAAAGATAATGCACAATTAGTCATTTGTAAATAATTTGTCCTGTAAGTTTTCTCATATTTACAGGTATTTGTTGAATTTCGCCACTAGGGGTGACAATTTGTTGCACGATTTGTATCCCTCCTGTTTGGGTGGTGGGCGTTTGTTGTGCTTGCTGAAGTTGAATGACATGTTGACCGGATGATTGCTGTGGACTTTGAACTGTAACTGTTTGGGCTGTACTCGTATTAGTGGTCTCCTGAAATTGATAAAATTGTTAAACTACACAGTTTCACTTATATGTGACACACGTATGAGATTCTCGTCATAAGATACCTGTTCTACAGGACTGCCGATATTGATGGTCTGAATTTGTCCGCCGGAAGGTTGGACTATTTGTATAGGTTGCGTGGTAGCACCACTGGTCTGTACATTTTGATTCGTCGAAGCCTGCTGCTGTGCCAATTGGAAGTAATAATGAACCTGATCGGAGTTCATTGATGTACGTACAGTAGCTTCATTTTGTGCTTTGCTCTGCTTGATTTCGTCTCTAGGTACTATATCTATGAGAAAATCGAATTGGTCGTATTTTGTAACTGCCATTGCAATATCATTTCGTTGAAGAGTTCGTCTCTTATTGTCCTCTGTGTGTACCCAAGCTCTGAGAGTTAATTCGTGTATAAAAATCTCCGCTGCTTTGGCAAAGAGCATAGGTGCTTCTGCACTTATCATTTTCACATCTCCATCCAACTTCATGATCTTCTTTATCCTTGCCAACGGTAATGATTGTGTCTTGAGGTCCATCTGTAAATCCACCATGAGAAATATTAGTGTATCCGAATACCGAAGGATCAAATTGCATTAGATGATTATTACGATCATACACTTGTAATGTTTTTTATTTCTTCCATGACTTTTGGCCAAAAGTGAGCCAGTGCTTGTTGGGCCTCAGAGTTGCCCGGTGATGCAATTTGCAAATCTCCATTTGAATCGCCTTCTACTTCGCTATCTTGATTGCTAAAAAATATATAATAATTATATGAATTACTGGAATTATATTCTATTTAGTTCTATTCTAGAAATTTCGAAATATATCGAATCGCAGGTGTATAACCTAAAAATATCAGAAGTGTGTTTACTTACGCATTTACGAAGAATACAGACATTTCTGCGGTTGTTTTGTGATTGCATAAAGACTGAGAGCCTTAGATTATGAGATTTAAATAACCATGGTTTTTTAAAATAATATTTTCAATGAAAGCAATATTATTTTAGATGAGAAAATCGTCTCAACACGTCTCAATTATACTCTACTGATGCACTAGTGATGATCTACTATTCTCGACGCGGCAAAGATCGTAATTCTCATCCACATACCGTGCATTGCCAACAGATGTCAGTACATGATAAATCTAATTAAAAAATTAGGAAGTTCGGATAAAACAGGAGATATCTTTTAATTGATCATATAATTAATTATAAAATCAGTAATTTACAATAAATTATCATATAATATACATATATTTCTGTACAAATACTTCAATCATGCACTGCTTTATAACTGCAAATTATTTGAAAAACAGAATTCAACACTTCTTTGGCGGTGTGTGTGATAGAATTATTTATTTTTACTATACTTCCAAATTCTCTGATATAGTCATCCAGTTCCTTGTCGCTTGATAAATCTTTTGTTTCTGTATATTTATTGGTAAGTTGTGACAGTTTTAAGAAATCCGAGCTGAAGGCTTCGTCTAAATCAAATAATTCTAAAGCAGGTGGTGGTAGTTCTTGGAAGCTTGGGGGAAATACCTATAAAATTATATTTTAATTTTACACAATTCAATTTTTAAATAACGCATTTATATATCTGTTACAGAATTAATCATAAATAAAAATATAGAGATCAATTTACACAAAATAAAATGCTTACCGAAGCCTGTGTGGGAGGTAAAGGTGCCTCAAAATGAGGTGGAATCAAAGTAAGTGGTTCGTGTTTCACTCCCAAAGCCTCATATGCTTTTATGCAAGCTGGTACCATATTTAAATTTACAGAATAAAAGTGATGTTTAAATAACTTAGTGTATTCACGAGGTATGTCGATATTATCCAAGTCTTGTGTGCAAACTTTTGGATTGTCAGCCTGCTGCGTTATATCAGGCACAAAATTGTATTCCCAAAACTGCGTGCATAAAAATACCACAGTTTACATAAGTAATGTTGTAAACTATGAGTTGTGATAAATGAGCGCAAACTCACTTCTATATCATCAGTATGGAGGTCCGCCGTTTCCGTGAGATTTATTTCAAAGAAATCGAAAATCATTTCTCGCAACGAATCATTATTCTCCTTCTCTATGTAAGTATCTGTTAGCATTCTCGATGAACCCAACACAATTAGCTTACCGCCGTTTTTCACACAGTGATAAGCGCAAATAGGTCTGTTCATTGGAATAGCAATTGATCCGCTGGACAAAGCGACGACGGATGGTTGCACTACATTTAAAGTCGCACCATAAGGATATAAAAATTTCGTACCGCTGAAAACAATTATTTCTTAACAAGTGACCCAGTAAATATAAGCTAACATAATGTTATAATTTCCCACTCAACAATGTAACTGCAATATAACATGCCTTGTACGTAACAGTTATATTGTTGAGTGGGAAATTACAACATTAATGTTATGTTACTGTTACTTTGTGCTTACTGGGGAGTTAATGGGAAATTAAATTATGTAATAGATTATCTTACATGTATTCATTGTGATTTTTTAGAAATATGGATTTGTTTGACAAGCCTTGGGAAATTAAAGACTCTTTAGGATGCATTGTTTGACTGTAACTCATACGTGCTACACTGTCTGCAAATATAAGAAGTACAAATTTATGCGTAAGGATATTAATACAACAGAATATTTTTCTCTCTGAATATTTTACATACCGTTATTTATCATTATGCCAAATTCTTCCAGCAAAAAATTGATATTTGTATTGGACTTATTTTCGCCACCCTCTCCAAGTGTAACAAGCACATTGCCACCGGAATTTAAGAATGTTCTAATAGAATTCATTTCAAGTTCGGTAAATTTATTTAACGGTCCTGGCAACACCAAAATCTTGGCGTTTGCCAACGATTCTTCGGATATCACTTCGTTATTCCTAAAATTTGCTAATTGAGTATAAACTTTGATAATCGTTTATTCGTAAATTCCAACTTACTCGATAAATTTCCACTTTGCTTTCAATTTGCGTTGAAGTATTTTAAACTCATCGTTTAGTTTCCTTTCATTTTTTGACACATCGAAAATAATAATGTTTTCATTATTGTTGCTATTGTCAAAAATTGAACTCATCGTTAAGTTGCTATAAATCGTTTTAATATATTATTTACAATGCGGAACAATTCAATATTACAACACATTACGTTCGATACTGTTAAAAGGTATGTTTGCACGTCAAAACATTTTATCGCGTCGTTGCTATAACAACCGTGGTCGCTTCACGTCAAACACTTAATTACAATCAATAACTTTTGATCATTTAATTATTTACTATTTATGAATATTTCTCTTACCTAATGCAAATTTATATTGCCATTTGCATTATAATATTTTACGACAAGTTTAGTAGGATTAAAAATAAATTCTTTTTTTACAATATCGATATTTTTAACAGTTATAAATTATAAACTAAATTATAAAGTTTTACAATAATTTTTTAAAAATTGATTTTTATTTCTTTTTTTTATTTCTGATGCGTGTATTAACGGCAAAGGTATTATCATCAATCGGTATTATAAGATTGCTCGTCTTATGTGTCTTTTCGCATATTAGTTTAGATGGCGATATAAGACAGTTGTTTCGCACATGCGTATTCTATCTTTGGACTTCATAGAACCGAAAGCTGCGCTGTATGCATCACATTTGATCACGTTGTTCCATGTGCGTTTGATAATTTCTCGGGATTGTTAGGCGCCGGTTTTTTATAAAATGACACAAGTCGTACGCGAGAATAACGAATTAAAAAGATTGCTCAATAATCCGGCAAAAAATGCAGGCGAAGATGGATCCATGGCTCCACCGCTATCGGTAAACAACAAAATATGTTCGATCACATGTCTGTTTTAATAATTATATTGCCAGTGCTATCAATGAATATTGAAGTCTGTGTTCAATGTATAGAATAGAATAATAACATGTACAGTAGTAATAGTTTACATTGTACTAGAATTACTTGTATTATTACATTTACTTATATTTATTCTTATACATTAGAATCTTATAATATATGGTAGGCCTAGAATTTTAGAATTCACATTTCTTTACTGCGATGCATTGAAATCTTATATTTTAAATAAAGAAATGGTCTAGAATGTTAAAATATACATTTGATTCGTTTCTATGGCTTAGAATCTTATATTATATCAATATGATATAAGATTCTAAGGCATAAAAATGAATAAAATGAATAGAATCTTATATCATAATATATGGTAGGTTAGAACTTTATAATGTTCATTTTCTTTATTGTGTTGCATTGAAATCGTATATTTTAAACAAAGACTTGATCTAGAATGCTAAAATGTACATGAATAATAAACTTCTACTATACTATTGAGATAATACTTTTTTAAACAGAAGATTTCTTTTTTTTTAGACCAATGTACCAAGGCCGAGCACATCGCAAAATGTTAATCCACAATCGACAATGAGTCCAATGATACCAGCTAATAGCACAACAGAAGAAGTTTTAGAACCTTGTCTGCAGTGAGTCTCGAGTTATTTATTCAAATCACATATCTCTGGAAAATATAACGGTTCTTTTATCATATTTAACAATGTTTGTTAAAATTGATTTTATTTTTGCAGGAATGTAGTGTCCACTGTTAATTTGCAAACAGAACTGCAACTTATGTATATTAATGTAAGAACGAGAAATTCCGAGTACAATCCATCGAGATTCACTGGACTGATAATGAGGATACAGAATCCTAGAGCCACAGCATTGATCTTTCGCTCAGGCAAATTAGTATGTACTGGCGCGAGAAGTGAGGAGGATTCACTTTTGGCAGCAAAAAAATTTGCTAGAATAATCCAGAAGCTTGGATTTTCTGTAAGTTAATGCGTTTTACCTTTTAACCTACTTTTTTCCAACGATAATCTTGAGCTTTTAATTAATAGATTTTTATATTATATATTTTATATGCTTGTAGGTAAAGTTCTCCTGTTTTAAAATACAAAACATAGTTGCAACATGCGACTTAAAATTTCCAATCAAATTAGAGAGTTTGAATCAGATGCACGGTCAATTTTCTAGTTACGAACCAGAATTATATCCTGGTTTGACATACAGAATGGTACTACCTCGGGTAGTGTTATTGATATTTGTAAATGGTAAAGTTGTATTAACAGGTATGTGTGATTATTACAGCAAACAATGGATATTATAGAAAACAAGTATTTATATTGTGTTGAGAAAGAAGTAATCAATGTGATTATTTATGATATCTTACAGGGGCAAAAAATAGGAATGAATTGCAAGATGCATTAAATAATATATATCCGATATTAAAAAGTTTTAAAAAACCGTAATATTTATTTGCAAACAGTATTTTCAACAATCGCTGCAGTGTTTGTGCGACGATTGTTATAAATAAAATGACAAGATATAAATATAGAAAATTAGAGAGATTGTATGTCGAAATGTCTGTTCTTTGAGGAACAATGAAGAAAGCAGTTTGTATTTTGAACACATTTCTACATTTTTTGTAATAATCTTATAATAAGAATGTAATTAATAATATATGTATATTTTGTTATTTTATATTATATCATGCATAATAATTATATAAATGACAACCTAGAATGATAGAAAAAGTACTTAATGTTAATTATTAATCATGCATTGTATATATTGTATATAATTGTATATATGCATATTTATATTTTTTTGTTAAACATGTAATTGTAGAAAATAAGAAACGAAACGATTTATGAGATATGTATAATAATAATTAGTATGTTAATTTTAATTGCAAGCATGTTGAAAGTAAGTATCGTAAGTATATCGAATAAAAACACGTAAACATTTATTTATTGTTAAAATATATATTTCGGAGACTTTACACAATATAAATAAATATCCATATCGATATACTATATCAAAATAAAATACAATTGATAAACAATAATATATGTGTGTACACAGTTTATACAGTATTTGGCTACATTAGAACTATTTTAATGTGTTGCTGTCTCGACATCTACAATAGACTTTTTGTTGCATCTTTGTGAAAAATTTGATTATATATCTGGATATGTTTAATAGACTGCTCAATATAAAGAATATTTAATGTGAATAGCGCAGAATATTTCACAATTTGTTTTAATCTTTATGAAACATTCTGTACATTTTTGTAGATTGAAAGAATATTAACATGTACGAAAATTGCTGCATCATTTCAATTAAATTGAATAATTATAACCGCAGACGTGTCACAGTTTTAAAATATACACATATATAGTTATAGATATTTGACAAAATTTCTATTACAATGGTTCTATGAGAAGAGAATCTGTATACTTTAATACCTGCTGATAAACAGCCATGGTCCATTTAAGAAACTTTATATTCGTGCACCATCAGACTTGGAAAACGTACGATTCTCAATATTTAACGCTGCGTGGATTTATGTGCTTTGTTTATTATTTAGTGTAATTATACGAGTCTGCTTGTTGATAAAAGACCCATTTTCGGTCGGTGTGTATTTGAAATTTTAATCAAAGAAGTACGCGTTACATTCTGATACGTTTTCCTCGAGCGTTCGCTTTCGCAGTCTTTAATCAATCACATGTATGCCTTTCTTCGCAGCTATTGGCAATTTTTCTCCTTGGAAAAACGGGTTTTCTTCCTGAAAGAATGTCTTATTAACATAATTTTAATATATATTTAATCATACTATTCGATATTTTTTTCGAATTGAAGTTTTTTTTCTAAAAAAAAATTGATTTTGATTAGTTAAATTTGTTTAGTAATTAATCTGAGGTGTATTTTAGTCACCTGAAATTCTTCGACGATTTGATCGAAATCGGGATTCGAAATATGTATGTTTGATAAACTGTTGCTGTTACCGGAATCGTTGGAGCATTCTAACATGTGTTCTGTATCACACATGCAGTCCTGCGCGCTTTGATAATCGCGACTAAACGCTGCTGTGTTTTCGAAATTGGTGAGGCAATTGTTCTCACCTGTAAAAGCACAAACAGGCTATTACCTCTGATTATCGTGCGCGATTTGTGAAAATATTTTCTAATAAAAAAAGAATTCTTTATAAATCAAAGATAATTCACACATTTTTTTCTACGTATGCATTCCATTTGATGAATTTTTTAATTTATTCGAGACAAGATAAAATAGTTGATAAAAGTGTGAAGTATATTGTATGATTATTTAATTTTCATGATAGAAAAAAAATTACACTGCTCTGCGTGAATTGTTGGGAAGGAAACATTATTTTTTGTACTTTGAACGTCGAGTCTCAAAACGTATTATAATAGCAATTATCTTATTTGCGCTACTGCTTCAAACAATAATATTGCAAAGAATTTTTTTACAAATATATTTTTTGCTTACTTGTATATCCGACTGGACAGGGATTCGGAGGGGTGCAGTAGGCTGGCAAAGGATTTTCCGTCTTTTCGTCCTTGATGCCTTTCAGATTGGATTGAATTTTGTGTCTGTCATTACTCTTGTCGTTATTATTATTGTTATTAAAACGATGGCTCCATAACGTGCTATGTTGTAAATACTCCTGGTCCCGTATACTAGGGTTTGGATTCAGCGTGTCCAGGCCGTCGTAATCGGCCGGCAATTCCACGGGAAATTCTTTAACCTTATTGTCCGGATAATCCGAATACGAGTACACCGTGTTGTCGAGTTCGTTTCCCATTCGATAGATCAATTCTCGCAGAGTATCGCTCCATGTATGCTCCTCCTGAGTACGTGCGAGCAGTAAAGTACATATTTTTTCAATGTCTTGCGTAGATAAATGTGTGAGAATTGCAAAGAACAGATCGTGTCAAGTTGACGCGCAGTGGCAAGGCGAACCATGTCTACGCAATTTGATCAGTTGAAGATATTTTCGAGTGATTGGGTTGCATCGGAGTAAACGACAGTTTTTTATGTGATGCTTGATATATTAAAGAAATAGAAAGACAGACAAGAAGATTGAGATTTGCAAGCTAGATTCTCTGTCCTTAGCAGTGAAATACATCGCCAATGTGATAGCATTTAGTGTCAATATGTTAGAATTTGAAAGAAAGAATTCGCCAACTTTCAGATTAATATTTGAATTTAAAGATGAAGTATTTGACTTGACAGACCATTCGATTGATTTTAATTTACATGTACTTTTCACATACGCAGAATGGCTGAATTCTCATAATTACCTTCGAAGGCAAGTAGGCATTTGTCTGTGCAGCGACAGCGATCGAAAGGAGCAAGATGTAGTACAACATGATGACTTCGTACCTGTAGAATGCACCTACGGAATAACACAAAGAAAGTTTTATTCCTTCATCTATTTCTCACAAGCAATCAATTTTCATTTGACAATCATTTAATAAGATTAATGAGTAAATATTTTATATAAAAAAAATTCAAGAATGTCACTTCCTTATCGCTATCGTCATACATTGTAACGGCAATATTCTCTCAATTTACAACGCTAAATTCTTCGTATCTCAAAATTTTCGTAGTCTTGTTCTTAAAGTGCATTCACGAATTCGCGCAGCGGGTATCACTCTCGGCGCGGAAGGAAAGCGATTTTTTCATGACTCTCTCTTCCCTCGCCCGTCCCTCTTTCCGATGCAGAACTTACCGCGCGACCGGTGACAGGTGTCTTGCGGACAAAGAGAAACGACGATAAGAACCGGATATCTTCGGGGAAGATGATATCGCACGGTACACCGGTTTTCCGCGTCAGCTGCACACACACACGCGTTTTCCTCTTTAGCGCCGCCGCCGCCGTCGTCGTCGTCGCCGTCGTCGTCGTCGTTCGTCGTCGCGACGAGCGCCGTTCGCGGTCCCCGCGAGTACCAGAGTATTGATTTTACTTTTTCCATCCCGTCGTTTTCCCCTCGTTTACAACCACCCCGACTCGCTCGCCTATGACCGGATTCTCGTCGGCCAACCCACATTCGTATAAAATCGGGCCGCTACTAAAGGCCACTCGCGACGGTGGCTTACCGTGACCGATGTGCGTCACGTGGCCGAGAGTAGACCTCTTTTCGGCAGCAGTCGATGTGAAACGTTGATGAATTATATCGTCGATGTACTTTTAGCTCGATTGAGAAACGTACTCTCTATAAAATTTATTTATTTTAACAGGAATATAAATTGAAACAAATTGAGGGACGTCTTTACGGCGTTCCGTGAACTCGAACGCCTAATCTTCAACATTTCGGGCTGTTAGAATATATTTTTAGCGGAAATATATAGGTGCATGTTTTATAATTCCATGCGTAATGAAATAATCCCGTCGAAACAAATTACGACAATATTTTTTCAAATATATTTAACGATGTACTATGCAATATATTAGTCAAATCTCTGAAATGAGGGAAAATGTATTTCTTATTTCATACAAAAACAATGATCTAATGATTTTATGACATACTGGTCACTCGTTTGCCAATATTGCATTAAAAAAAATAGCAGCTATAATAAATGTGATTTATACACGAGACACGTCGTTTGGATAACACGATATAAAAGCTAGTTGGTATAACTTCGAGTCTCCTGCCGCGGCTATAAAGTGTCTACAGTACGAGATCATTTTGTTTCGCGGATACGAGGCATGAACTAATGTCATAAGAATGTAATTTCTTCCCTTAGTGACGTTCTCCGCGAAGTGAATAATCTTGTTTCCTTAACTACATTGCGAGCCACTTTAACCACTCATATTAATCGCGCACTAATATCGCTACAAGTTGATACGATCACTCGCTATTTTATGTAACTATTTTTCCACAATGTATTATACTATGAAAACACGACGTGAAGTGTTTTTAAGATTTGCGCATCAGATTGACACTTTGACGAATGGATATACGTTGACTGATTAAAATAGTAAATGATTTGATAGTGTTTTCTATTTGCGCGTTATACGAATGAAAAATATATAAATAATAGAGGTTATGAGATAGTAATTTGTAAAATTTTTTCGTTATAATGTATGCATAAAGAATTACGGGAAAATTTTGAGTTTTATAATAGACGAAGAATTACAGCAGCGGTTGCTTGTCAAGGTTTGGCGGTGCTTTTATTAAGCGTATCGGTCTATGTGGGAGGGTTAAAATGCAAAGTGCGCAGGGATGGAAGATCAAAAGATCCTTTCCCACCCGGTCTCGTTATGGTCGCATACAAACGTCCATTAGTTATCGTCTTGCATTACTCGCCGACAATTCAATTTCCAAAATCAAATTCCCGTTATGCCTCCGCTGCGCTTCCTTATATTTACTCGCAGATTTATCATATTTATTAGCTTGATATTCTATTCAATCCTTTTAAGCTTGTTTCGCGATATTAATTCAAAATTTTAATACGCTATTCTTCAAAGCTGCTTTATTCAATTTGTCTAATAATTCAAAATAGAATTCAATTCGGCCGCGGCTGATTTTCTTGCTCTTCTCGAGGTTAAGTGTTTCCAATTTTATACGATATTATTTATCAGAGAGAGTAAATGTACCACGGCAATTTGCTCGACACATGTCTCGAGGGAAGAGTATTAGACATTCTTGAAGCTGCTGGTGATTTTCCGGCGCAGCATTCAGCTGGGCTGTGTGTCCCGGAATCCCCCGCGTTCGAAATAAAAGCTTCCTCGTCTCTTGGTCTCGGCGTCTAATGCCGAAGATTCCTGCACAATCGCGAAGGATTACACCGTCGCGTAAACGGCATCTATTCGATGTAAACCATTCGGAAAATGCTTCGCTTCGACAGCACATACAAATGTGTACGTTGTGCTTACACACAAGATTATAACATTTTGCTTGTATCAGTATTGATAAAAACGTGAACAAATGATAACGAATCACGGAAGTGAAATCGCGTGAAATAACCGATTACGCTATATAGATGCGATATTTCACGCTTAATGTAGAGATCGATTGATGGAGCTTGCTATTCATGTGTTGGCGTTCTTCGGATACAGAAATATCTAGATTTTTTCGGACAGATTTCAATATTTTGCTTCGTGTGCTTTATGAAAAAAAAAAATATATTAATAATAATTGAAATTTTAGCTTTATATTGAATTCTTTATTCTGCGCTGGTAAAAGTTAAAATAGAGCAAAATAATTTTAGAAATAACTATGATCACTGCTAGTCACTCAAGAGAAACGTCGAGTAAAGAAAAAATTTATTATATCGGTTTACATTGTAAATAAAACATATCTGGCTAATACAAAAATATAGTTTTGCAGAATTGTAATAACTTGAATTGTCATTTGAGAATTTTATGACGGGGCAAAAAACACATTTAAATTTAGCGTAAAAAATACTGTTAGCTTCAACAGATGCTATGCTTGTGACAGAAAATCGATGTAATTTTATTATTCAATAATCAAGAGCCATTAAAGCTCACTTTGGACGATCTACAATTCGTGACCGAATTCGATATAAAATTTCAATTGTAATTTTACGTGCTATTCCGATATATAAAATAATTTGTAAATGTGCATGATAATACTTGAGAGACAAATATAGACGAAACAAAAACAAAATATAATGAAAAAAAGGCTAAAAGTAAAGTAAATTTTATCAAAGGGCTTAAATATTCCTTCACTTTTCCATTTACCTTCGCGTATATACAATATAGATTTGTTTGCAGGTTTTCCTTTTCTAATTATGATAAATTGCTCGATAAAATTCACAAAATCACCAATTGTTTGCCAAATAATGATCGACTATGTGAATTTCAGTCGTATATAAAAAAAAAGTCATCACAAAATATTTCAGAATCTTACATAAACATCGGTCTTTACCGAGCGCGATGCTGGGAGGGTATGTTGTCCCCCGCTCGTCTCGGAACATCTCGGAATTTCTCTATCGACGATAGGCGGTATGCGCCGCGTGCGTAGTCGGCGTGGGGTTGTTACGCTCTGTCTCGCGGCATCACGAGTATTGATCCCCGCGGAGAGCCGCTGCCGTGAATGGGTTACGGCTGTCTCGCATCGTACCGCAGAATTTCGGACGGTCCTCTCTCTGTCCGTTGTACGTGCTTGCTATCTCGCCGCAATCTCAAACCCTCTTATTGTTGGTCGGAAGAGCTTTTGTACCTTGCTGCTGTATCACCCCCTCCTTACACCGCCGCGGCATCACACACGACGATAGGTGCTGAACTTACCTTTGCGTGGGCGGACGATAGATCCAGTGAGAAAATGGATCGCCTTTTTATTGCAGAAAGTTCCTTCGAATTTTTCCGATAAAAATGACTGCGAAAATCTGAAGAAACTTTTTATTAACCTAATATTTATAGATTTAAGCACGTCGACCGTCGCGAGCTATCGATAAATACAAAATATCTTGTTTATCATAAAAAAAAAAATTTACAGTCAGCTGACATCAACCATTGATCGAGCCTATCTTCAGGAAAAGGAATGGTAGTGACGATAGAGAATTTCTAGGTTGTACATGCGTCGTTAAATATTCGGAATACGTATTCAAAGAACGTATTGTCGAAAGAAACGCCAAATTTTATTCTGTTTAACTTTCGTTGAAAATTGTTATTTAATTTTGATATATTTCAAATTATATCTAATTAATTTTGTCATGATAAAGGACCAACCGTTCGCGCTGCTTAGGAACGGGCATATATTATCGGTAATCACGTATACATAAGGAAATATATATACACAATAATTCATTATTTTATTTTACTTGGTAGCGAAATTCTGCACTTCCTGCGCATTATTACGTGTTTGTAAAAAGTGTAAAATACAAAATTGTCAACAAGTGTCTTCTCCAATTCTCTAACGTTTTGTTCTTATATTTTATTCAGACAAATTCATGTAATTCTGCGAGACAAAATGCGGGATTCAATCTGGAAAAATATGATCCCTATCTCGACAAAATTCGAGCGCTCTTCGTGCCAAGTCTAGAACACAAGGTGCATTCCTTGCTGGAAGAGTTCGTGTACAGCGAGGATTCTCGATGGACCAAGCGATTTTCACGTTTTAAGAAATTCATCAACGCGATAATCGTATGGAAAGATTGTCTGAACGCCGAATACGATATGGAGGAGTTGATAAAGACCGTTAAATGCATAATGAAGGATGAATTAGCTGCCAGCTTTTTGGATTCCATTCTTCTGCATCGTAGATTGAACAAAATTTGTCACGAGCTGGACACATTGGGGATCGAGGATGATATTTTGGGAAGTTTCGACTGTTGGATGGAGTGCAACCATTTTGTGTATGCAAGTTATATTTTTTCACTTATTATTACATAATATTACGTCCAAATCTTACTCGACAGGAATCCCAACACCGCGGAGAATTGTAACACGCGGATTTCGAGCGCGGCGGCGTCCTACGACGCGAAAGGATCGACAAGGTGCGAGAAAGATGTCGAGTCATTAGCGACGAGCGATGTTTATCGTGACGGAAGTACCGAGCCTACGATGACGTCGGAGTATCGAGCGCGGAAACATCAGCAAGTTTTTGACTCGAATGAAAATTCTCCTCGACGAGGGATCGACAATCCGAGTCAATCCGCACGCGATGGATCGCAAAATAACGACATCATTAAAATGCACGGAACTCCCAATGAGAATGTCAAATTGTTCCAATTTCGCGATGTGAAATTGGAAAAAGTACGAAACAGTTCGAGATTAAAAATCGTTATTCGTTGGAGATATTTGGAAGATCGCGGCTGTCCGACACTCTCAAGATCCGTCGTCGCTCGTATTTTCTTACCCTGCAAGCCGAGCGACTTGATGAAGCGAATTTTTACGGCCGATCCGTCGCTGACCGAATCCTGCTTGATAGTAATGAAACGGAAGTTTGAGATCAGCATACGCAACGTCTGCTCGTGTCTCAACGACGTCCTCGGGAATTTAGACGTCGCGTTTATACGGAAGTTACGTCTCGACTGCAAGATACATGCGGGATATATTAGCTTCAAATTAAAAATCGGCGACGCGGGCAATAAATGTCTCTTCGTCACGAGAGTGCCGATTTGTCAGAATGTTCGTAAACGTGCAATCCGACAAGATTTCGTTGTCCTCGCTTGTAACTCGAAGCTGAGTTCTGAAACGAAAAAGTCAAAGTGTTTCAAACAGTGCGAGAACGATGATAACAATGATGCACTGGCGCGTCTCGATGAAAAGAGTGAAAAGTTAGACGATATACGCTGCTCGAAGTTACATCGAAGCCTCGTAAAAGACACGACGATAAGAGCGTCGCAGAACAAGGAGGCGAAAAGTAGCAGCGAAGACGGAATCGTGTGCACAAGTATTGAAGATGTTTCAAAATGTAAGGATGTTACGATTTCCTGTTGCGGCAAATTGTGCGAGAATATTGCCGAAGAAATATCCGACATAACGTTGTATACCAATAATTCTGAAGAAAAAAATGCGGAATATTGCAGGAGTTTGAACTCAAAAGAAAATGATTACGACGCGAAATGTGGAAAGGAAGCTGTCGATAGTTTGATCGCGCAAAACGACGAATCCACGCGATCGGTAAACGATATTAATTGCCGATGCTGGTCACACAAGAATTTTATTGCGATAAATAATGAAGCCGGACAGATTTTTCCTACGAAAAATTTAGATAGCTTCTCGCAGACTGCAGACATCAATGAGTACGATTGGATTTGTTCGTCGGAATCAAATAGGAATGAAGATTGCAATGCTAATACGTGCAGTATTGCGACATTCGTGCAAAACTCAGAGCGCGACAAACAATTAGTGGAATTAAACTGTAATCGTTTGTCGAGCGACGATGTGAAAGCGATTAATAAACAATCGGAGGACGATAATTCTTTAGCAAAGACAGAAATTGAATGTGACTCAAGTTGTTCTTGTCGATATACCGATTTCATAAATATCACAGTCATCGATAATACTTCCGAAAAGAGCATCGTTCGCGAAGCGTCTCGGGATGTTGGCGATGCGCTGGAAATTCCAAGTACCAACTTTTCCAAGACAGTATTATTTGAGAACAATAATTCGGCTTTCGTCCGAGCGCCTAAATTAAAAATATCATCGAAGGATATCGATGTGGACGTAAGTTGTTCTCGAACCATAACTTGGCTGGCGTCCGGCGACGATAGAACTGTGTCCACCATCGCGAAGATGCGCGATAGCCGCGACGACACGTTTTCTTCCACTCGCGCTTTCATTGTCCCAAGGAAAGAAAAGCGAATTCTTGATAGAACTAATTTCGTCAAGTCACCTAATCGACTTTCTACGTTAGAAAGAATAAGAAGTTCCGATATTCCGACAGAGAGCTATTTTTGCGCGAAGAACCACGTGACGCCTGGCATATCGCGAAAATCTCACAAGTTGAGAAAGTCGAAATTTGGCAGATGCGGATGCTCGTCGAACGGTATTGACAACGCAACTTCCGCCACGATGCTCAAGTATAGAACGACGTCTCGGCAGTATCGAGATGACGACGATTTCGTTGACGCGCGAACGCTCGTGATGACGAGCTTTCGCGATTCCGTCGATAGATCTATCGAAGGAATAAAGTATCTTCGCGCCAAGTTGAGAAGAGTGTTGTTTAAGAACAAAGTCAAAACAAAAAGGAACTAAATGTTTTTCGCTTAAAAGGATTCGGAATATTTGGAATGTCACATATGCGAAAGGGAGACGCGTAATGACAAACGCGTCTGTAAACAAGCGTACAACAGAGATCAGCAGAAAAGTGAAAAAGCACAACACGAATGCAAGTAGCATGTTTATGAAAAAAAGTATTAAAAAATATCGATTAGATATGTCAGCGACATCAACGACAAACTGCGAGGGACATCATTATCTTACATTTGAAGAGAAGAAAGTAAGAAGGTACACAAGTAATTTTGCAGTGCATCGAGAAAGATGTGAACCATAAAATTACATTTTATTCTTTCCTTGTTTTTAAAGAAGCATTTTCGCTTTTTCTGCGTCGTTCTTCTTAAAATCTTTCCTTCCTACTTGAAGTGAAATGTTGTAGCTTTTTTTTGATCATTAATAAAGTTTATATATATATATTGTCTTTGCAATTTGCTTAGACTTTTATTATTTATTCAATATAACGCTTGTGCTTTGGCGCGTGTTTTGTTCTGTCCAGGTTGAGCTGAAAGCTACAAATAAAATTTAGAAATTCTTACCTGGTGAAATAAGATAGAAAAATGCTGATTTTGTTAAAATCGCTGATATAAGCTCGTCGGCAAATCAATCCTTCTTTATGGATTAAGGCGTATTTCCGCAAGCGACCGTTGACACGTCGGGACGATAGTGAAATCCGAGTTATTTAGGGCGCACAGACGCCGAGGAGAAGATAAAGTATTGTACCAACCATTCAGAACGGCAGCATCCGTCCCTCTGGGCAGATCGATATTTCCTGGCAACCACCGGAAAGGGTGTCTACCCCCCGATCGTTCTCTGTTTGTAACAATGCAAGTCGTCTGCCGAATCCGAGGGAGAGTTCTCTGCGTGCGATCGATATGGAATTTCTTAATTTCCTAGTATTTTATTCGGAGCCGATTTTCGTGTCGAAGAAATTTTGAATTTTGTTGCCATTGTTTGTTTAAGCTCCAAGATTTGGCGATGAACGTGTGTCAACAATATGGTCGCTTTCTAATTAACAGTACGCGTCTCAGAATTTCAGTTTACCGCATTTATATTTCTGCTCGCTTGTAACTCACGAGTCAATTTGATAATTGAAAGCCGCACCAAATTTAAAGAAGAATAAATGGTTAAAATCAAAATCGAGGATTTAGATTCAGTTTTTCATACATTATAATAATGATGTATTATTTTTGCGACTGTCTCCTTTGCAATAAAGTGAAACTTCCAAGTAGAAATCGATTGATAAGAGAAATGTGACGCTACATAAGAATTCAATCTCATCACGCACTGGCGACGAAATCCAGCTCTCAGATCGATCTGCGGGACTCCAAGTAACGCGTGAATTCCCGACTTACCGATAACGCGCTCGATACCAGTTAATACATTAACCCTAACGCCGTTACGATCGTTTTTCGTGCGTGCCGTTTTGTTGTTGTAAAACTTTCAGTCGGGATGCACAAGAAAGCTCCGCCTGGGGTCGATCTAAAGAGGGTTGCGACCACCAGCGATTGGCCAGTGATATCGATGCGTCGTGCCTGGCAAACCAATCGCATTGCCGCGCCAGATGCGCTGACGCTGTGACCAGAAATCAACTGGGTGGCCGCCACCGCCACCGCCGCTGCCGCCGCCGTCGTCGTCGACGTCAGGCGACGTCGACGACGTTCTCCGTCGCGTACTCCGCGCTACCATCACCCACTCCGCTCGTAACTGTATCTGGACTTAATTATTGGTGAGTCCCGCGAGTCTTCTTAATTGTCGTTTATCCCTCGGTTTTTGCCGCTCGACAGCGCATTAAGCATGGAAAGTCGCGAATTACGTTTCTATCTTTGCTCGCGAGCAAAAATCGGAAGCGATCCCGTATGTGTCTTTCCCGTATGTGAGGTGGAAGAAAGTTTAGGTATCCATCGAATTGTGATAGAGGATTTTGAGATTTCTGTACGAGAGTGCCAGGTCGTGGATAGTCGAATTCGTTCGATTTCGAAAGTGGCTTGATGACGTAAAGATTTTCGCTTAAACACATTTTTTTTCATTTATTTTCCATCTACAATTGTTCGGCATTAACTCCCAAGTTTTGTGAAGAATACTGTGATTTTGAAATCAAATTGAATAGAGAAAAGCGACGAATCGGGTCTTTCCGTTATCCGATTGTTCATTTTTCACTAACATCATGATCGAAAGATTTCTCTCGATGTGTTCCTTTCATCTGGGAATTTTTTTCTCTTAAAAACTCAGCGCGAGTGATAAGTATAGTGAAGTGATGATCTTGTTCGTGTAATTTCAAATTTTCAATAATTTCAGGAAAACGTTTAATTTTGGTTTAATTTTGGTTTTGCGATGTGAAAAGCGCGAGATTAGAGAGTCCGCTGACGTCAATTGCCATTAATTGTGATCTTGTATGAAATTTGTGCGATAATTTGTCTGATTGCGCGAGTGTTAACGTTATTGATGCTTTTTATAGTCGTAATGAATTAATTTTAACTTGGATTGAGAGGAGCGCCCCCCTTCCCC